TCCTGTGGTGAGCCCAGTTCCACTGGTGGAGGTCTGTGCTCTGAGTGCAGGAACTCATTGCTCGAGTTTGATTGCCCCCTCAGAGCAGCTTTGAAAACTATCTAAAATCTAGAAATCTAATAAATCACAAACGATGTAGAAATGGAAGAATGGTCTTTATGTTTTAAAAGGGAATCAAAGTTAGTATTACCGCTCTTCAGAGAAATAGATTTGCAGAGGGAATACTTGATTATAACTGTGCTCTTGCAGGAAAAAAGCTGAGCAGTTTAATGACGTAAACAGCACTACCACGTAGATGGGAGAAGTCTTTCTACCAAGCAGTGGCATCCAGATTAATTATCATTAGTACGGTCGATAATTGCCATATCAATTGATGGTTGCCACAGCTGCAGATTTAACAGTTGTATATGTTTACATTTTTTGATTAGCTTAAGGTCTTTGGTCACCAAATTGACTATACTGACCATCTACTGCTAAGCAGTCTTCAACGTTGAGGTGAGGTATATAGGTATTACATAGTTACGTGATCTCTAGCTTCATTCATTTTCTCTTCCATTTGGTCTGTCGACCCCTGGGTGACACAGTCCAAGAGCAGAGTACCATGTGGGTTCATTATGTTACTTCACAGAGTCGATCTGGTGAGAAGTATAGGGAGCCGTTTTATTCGTTGTGTCGATACACACGGTACACAGTCACTAATGGCTGGAACTGTACCCTGACAGGCACTGTGGCTGCCCATTCCAAAGATAGTCCCAGTTCGTTTTTCTGGAAGGGAAGACGAACTGTTTTGACCCCAGAAGAACCACCCATAAGTGTTTCAGTTCGTCCTGCAATCAGTCAGTCAGTACGTCCTGCCTACTGTGCCAGGTTCTTTGTTAGGTTCTTATGGCAGAGTGATTTCCAGGCCCGGCCACCATCAGAATCACCTGGGGAGCTTTTAAGAAAACACTTGCTTGGATCACATCCTAGAAATTCTGATTCTGGCTGTTTGGAGTGGAACCAGGAATTTGCACTTGAAGGAGTAACTAAGGGATTCTAATGCTCATCACCTTTAGGATGAAGTTACAATCCCTTCCAAGGTTCTTTGTCTGAAAGTACAGATTAAATAAAGATGATTTCAGTATAGGGGTAGATGAGCCCTATGACAGATTAAGTTGTTCAGTTATCTTAGTGCTCTGAGGCCAGGTCTTATTGTAGAGTCCCCCCCCCCCCAGATTATTTTGTTACCTCTCATTATTAGGCGCTCATTTTATAGTAACGCCTCGCATTTTGGGATCCCATTTAAGTGTTAGGCACTGTGCCACGTGTTCTACAAGCACCATGTCATTCCATCCTCACAGGGGCCCTGGGAGGCGTTGAGGAGTGTTACTATCTCCCTGTTTTACAGTGTGTCTGTAGTCAGGGCAGCTAACGTGCAGGGCGGGCTGTGGACATTGCGGGGCTGGGAGCTGTGCTTCCGGGGCCTCGGGCGTCCTGCACAGCATCTGCAGACCCAGCCTCACTGTCTGAAAACAGAGCAAGCACCTTGGCAAGTGGGCACGTGATGCTTTCGGAGCGAGATAAAACAAAGCTATCAAAGTGTAACTGTTTAACTTCATTGCTCAGTGTTTTGCCTAAAGAATTCACATTGGTTCTCAGAAAAGTGTCAGGAGTGACAGCCATGTCCAGGTGAAGAGCTATATAGATTTGTGGTGCTGAGGAGGTCCGAGAGTTCACGCTCTGTTTATTTGTGCACTCTGCCTTCAGGCCGCTACCCTCAAGAATACTCTGTAAGCTCATTTCAGAAAATTTTAAGAGATAACAGCTTTTATTTTTTCTTTGTACGTCTGATAGCATTATCTTTGAAATGCCTCACAGCTTCTCCCACTTAATTAACCTCTTCTTTATACTTGATCTTTACAGCTAGTCTTCAAGAAAGAAGGTCTTTGTTTTTAAAATATTTGAAAACTTTTTTTAAGCTCAGTTTCCTTCTCTGACAAATTTTGTAGTTGACATCATTTTGTGGGTCATTTTAAGGAAAATGAGTTGGAAGCAATCGATCTGAAACTACACTTGAGTTCAATTTGGAAAGAGGGAGGAAATAATTTTTATCTTGCAAATTTAGTCAGATTTTTAAAAATGTTCGTATGTATGTATGTATTGGATATCTTCCATTTACTTTGAAACTCTACTAAATGCAAAGCTGCATAGATTAATTCTATATTCAGTTTAGATAAGCCTTAGCAAAAATTTTTTGGATAGAGTAAAGTTTTAAAATTTGAGGTCCAACAAACCTTTTAACTCACTGCTTTCCTCATGAGCATTCCCAGCTGTTTCTTCCTCATTGTTCTGAACGGCTTTACAGGTGTTGACATTGAACTGTGACTTCACAGGATCCTCTGCTCCCCTTCAGGGCTTCGTTTGCTGGGTCCTAGTGTCACCTTGAACTCAAATCACTGCCAGTTTACTTTTAGTACCCGAGTGGCCTCTCCTCCTCAGGTATGTCTTCCCCAGCGTAATGCGTCTGGTGGGGCTGAATCTACTGTTTTCGTATCGTGCCCCCCCACCCCCTGACTTCCCTGCTGACGGTGGAGAGGCCGGGGAGCAGAATTCCCCTCTGCTCTGGGAGCTTGGATACCACAGAACAGTTTGGGGCGAGACAGCTCTCCCCCGGGACATGAAGCCTTCCCTGATAGATTCCCTTGTACGGAATTCTGAACCACTCCCTCTGCCGTCCCCAAAGAATTACTTGGTTTGGCCACAGATTTTTATAGCGTAGCGGTTAAGGGACACCGGTCATCCAGAGTGTGGGTTTCTTTACAGCCGTATGTAGCATGAGGTAGCTGCATGGCAGAGTGGTATAGGGACATGTGTCGTTAAGGGAGAAAAGCAAGTCACAGCACAATATTTAGGGCATCGTCCTAGGTACCAATGTTGTATGTACATAACAGTAGGTATGGGAATAAACAGGTGAAGCTTTTAAAGCGGATTACCTCTGGGAGAGGAATGGGTGGGGAAGGAAGTATTTCGGGTGAGAGCAGAACAGGCTTTCACTATCTGTAGACACTTGCAGGTTTAGGTCTCAAAATGAATGTATATTCGTTTTTCCTTACTTTTAAGAAGTAGTGGATAAAATTTTTAAATATAATACTTTAGAATATTAAGAAAGTGCTCTACTGGCCTGTCAGCTAGGCTACTGCCTCGTGGCAAACCTGCCAGAAAACCTTGGGTTCTCTGCCTCCTCCCATCTGAATGGTTCCAACTGTGTCTCTGCACCCGACCTCTCCAGCAGAAGGGCCAGCGCATCGCTTCTCGAGTGTTGCTTTTTGGTCTCTCTCGGAAACCGGCATAATTTATGAGATCAATAGAAATTTATACCAGGGACCCTTTAAATGCATCATTTCAGATTTCTGTCTGCTGTCCTTTTAAGCACTGAAACCTCTTGGATACGTAGCTTCTGAAGGACATCATATACCCTGGTTCCTGCACTAATAGGAATGGTATTACTTCACTCTTTGCTGGTTCAGCATGTGCTTTCTTTCAAAAAGCTATTTCCAGCCGAGTCCTTACGTCACACTCCTACCTATATTTTAGTCATAGCCTTTTAAGGTCAACCTCTCAATTTTGAGGGCAGCCTGTTTGGGGGAACCCAGAACATTTGTGGTATTACTTCGCTCAGCCATTGCTGTCCTGGTGTCCGGAGGGAAGTGCTGTCTGTCACCTCTCCTCTCTCCTCCCATCTTATGTTAACCCACCCTATCTCCTCCCCTCCCCTTGTATCTGTTTTACTAGTCCCCCCTCCAAGAGCAATAATTAAGCTGGGCAAATATTTTTAAAGAATTTGCTGCAGATCTATCTAAAATACTGGAAGTAATTTTTCCCTTGCTCTAATCCCACCAAATTATACATTTAATTCATGTCTATTCCTGAGCTATTGCTCAATATCGGAGGATTTCATAGTAAACAGCCAAGTGCTGGGTAAAAACTGTACACTAGTCTCTGTTCCTTGTGTGTCCATTTGCGTTCTCATGGGTCCCAGTTTCCAGGTCTCGGCATGATTTTTTGCTGTTTGTTTCCAGCCCCGTGTCAGCCTCCTGCCTCTACATTTTTACTTCTTTCTAGACTTAACCAGACTTCTCAGCTTAATGAAGAGCTGGTTCTATCATTGGGGTTTTTGATGACAAACGTACTGTGTGGGATGAGGGTGGTCATCTCCAGATGTTTGGAGGACAGGGACGGTGCCTCGTCCTCCCATTGCTAGGGCAGTGCCCGGCGCTAGCTGCTCGGTCAGTGTTTTCCATGGTAATCGGTGCATCCTTATCCTAAACGTTGTAGCAGATGTGTTGTGCAGCAAACTGATCATCGTGAAAATGTAACCGAGTGATAAATATTGGCCTTTCCCCAAGACGATCTTGCTCAGATAACAGAGAAAGTTTGTAACGACTGTTATGATTTCTGTAAATTCTCAGGGCCTCCACGGGAAACCTCCACAGTTTGGGTCATTTAAGTGGAACACTTCATCCTTTTATTCTTCTTGCTATCAGACAGATGCTATCACAGTTGTATCATAACTTTTTAAACAACAAATCTCTGTAATTAATTTATTTGAAACACTGAATTTCTCATACACATGAATTAAGAAAGGAGACGCTTCTTTTTGTTTTGTACGCAAAAGGAGCCCCAAATACCTGCACACATGCTCCTAATGTATCAGCAGTTCTGTACCGATAGAACTACACGTATATATTTTTTTAATCAGTGGCAATTCCTGTGGTTTACAAGGATGTGGTTTAGCAATCAATTTTATAATCTGAGTATAAAAGGAATTGGTGATTGTTAATTCTCTTATGCAGAGATACCTCTCTGGTTCCAAAATATATAAAAATAACCAAAGACAAGTCTTCATTTGTAATCCTACTGTCTATAAAATCAAACTAGGAAAGTTTGAGCAATTGAATAGCCAAGAACCTTTGATTCATTTTCTTCTTGGGTCTTTTTTTTGTGTGTGTTTTTCCTTTTAGAACTGTTGCTGGATGACCAGGATTCCCTGTAACTGATAATGTTGGAGATCAACTCTGCAACTTTCTTCAACACCCAGTTGTTAAAAACAAATAGGATGCAAGTGTCTCAGCCCCGGATTATGAAAACAGTACTTGGAAAACTGAAAACTATCTAAATGATTGTCTTTGGTTGGGCCGTGTTCTTAGCAAGCAGAAGCCTCGGCCAGGGTCTGCTGTTGACTCTCGAGGAGCACATAGCCCACTTGCTGGGGACTCCAAGTGCCACCGCTGCCATGGGTAACTCCTGCATCTGCCGAGATGACAGTGGAGCAGAAGACAGTGTTGACAACCAGCAGCAACAGGCCGAGAACAGTGCCGTGCCCACCGCTGACACGAGGAACCAACCCCGGGACCCTGTCCGGCCACCAAGGAGGGGCCGAGGACCGCACGAGCCACGGAGAAAGAAACAAAATGTAGACGGACTGGTGCTGGACACGCTGGCGGTCATACGAACTCTTGTAGATAAGTAAGTATGTGCTCACGGTCGCCTCCTATGCAGTGATAGGCGTCCTGCCGGGAACTGTGGCTCCTGGACCCCTCGGTTCAGAGCTTGTATTCGCCAAGCCTTGTGCTCCGGGGGCAGGGGGATTATTCTCCTTCTCCGATGGCAGAGTGCACCGTACGGTTTGGTGTTCTTACTGGCTGACACCCACTCCGGTCTGGACATGTCCAAACACTTCCGGAGCAGAAAACGCTAGTTAATCTGTGGTCTTTATCAGGGCACACAGTGAATAAGGAGTGAGTCTGTATGGTAGGCGGCCGCAGGATATAGTCTCACGAAGACTCACCCTTCACTTGTCTGCCTCTCTCCTCCACTGACCAGAGCTTCCAGATGAGCTGCTTTACCAAGAGCGCGGCTACGTGCGACTTCCGTTGGCAGCGCAGGAACACAGATCACGGAGTTTCCCCCTCCCCGCTTTTTTATCTCCCTGCTTGGCCCTCTTAGACTCGCTTGGGGAACGTGTAAATTGAAACTGCAGGACACACCTCTACCTGTTCTGTTTTCTCTTTTGCTTTGTCTGACCCTTAAACTCAAAACCCTAGATTGAATAACAGTGAAATCAAAGGGCATTGTTCAAACTGAAAACAATATTTTAACTGAACCGTACAGTTCGGTAGTTAGGAGCAAAAGTTTTTGAGCCGCGATGGGCCACAGTTCAAATCGTGTCCCAGCCCTTTAACTGGCTACGTGACACAGGGTGAGTTACTTCTCTAAAGCTCAGATTCCTCAGCTTTGAAAGGGAAATAATAAAAAAATACTTAAAATGAAAGGGGAATAATACCTTTCTTACAGGGATTATCACGAGATAGTGATAATTTTAAGTTATATCTGTATTCTTTTTGCTTCAGGCTCTGCTAGTAAATTTAAATATCTAAGGAGTGGATAATCACACTTTAATTTTTTTATAGATTTCATTTATTTATTTTTAGAGAGAGGGGAAAGGAGAGAGAAAGAGAGGGAAAGAAACATCAATGTGCAAGAAATATATCCATTGGTTGCCTCTCACATGCCCCCATCTGGGGACCCGGCCTGCAACCCAGGCATGTGCCCTGACCAGGAACCAAACCATGACCTTTCGGTCCACAGGCTGGCGCTCAATCCACTGAGCCACACCAGCCAGGGTGATAATCACATGTTTAGAATGTGGTTTTGTTTAGTTCCTCCAAGATTATAGCATAAAGCGAACTGTACCTGTGCATGTTATTCTGAGGGAGTTTTCCCCTTCATAGAAATAAATTTGTTTTACGCATCTCTGCATCTGCTATAGAACACACTGGAAGAGAGTGGTTCTCACAGATACTCCCCACTCCAGATCAGAAATGCCTTCCAAAGTTTATTAAAACCAGCCTGTGAAGTAGGTCTGGTTTCTAAATAATTTAATGCAACGCCACTATGTTTGGAGGAAATACCCGTTGAATAAAGCTATGCCATTTACATCCCCTAAACTCAGGTGAGGGGCTAGAAGCTGCTATGGTGAAATTTGGGAAGTACCATAAGAGTGTAGTGAAAAGTTGTCCGTCTCAAATAAGGAAATAAACCGTAAGCAATGCTATTTAGCCCATTGGAAAAACAGATACAGAGCAGACTTTGCCATGTATTTTTAAAAGTGTGTCAGAGAGCGCGGGGGCAAGATAGGAACTGTATTTCCAAACTTTGGGAAAATATTACACATTGCAAGTGAACTTGCTGATAAAGCACAGAATTCACTTCCATGAGGCAAATGGTGTACATTTGAGTAGTAGGGCAACTTCCATCTTAAACCTGTTGTACTGAATTGTAGTTAATAACTCTTTCGAGAACGGAAAAATAGGCAGGTGTAGAACAAACTCGAAGTGCCGTGCCGGAGAACACAGTGGCCAAAAGGTTCAGACAGTCTATAAACATAGTTATGTAGCTGGGTTTAAACTACTAAAGGAGAAGAATTTGAAAACCTATGAAGTTCATAAGGCTTTTAAAACAAGACATGAAAGATAGACAGACTTGGGAAGATCATACCCAGAGGGATGTCTGTGTGTGTTCTCCTTGTTACTCAGGAAAGGACGGCATTCATCTGACAGGAGACAGTTGCTGTGAGAAATACAGCAACTTTAAATGCACTTATTTTAAAATCATTTTAAAGTTCTGTTATTTGCATTTTGGGGGTAGTGACTTTGTCCTCAATGATATGAATGTTATCACATGAGAATCACATTATTCTCATGTGATTTAGAACTTTAATTTGCAGACTCCTCCTAATGGGAATTGTTTCCCTCACTGTGTGTGTGTGTTCTCTCTGTCATTCATATTCTCTCTCTCTCTTCCTGTAGAACCTGCCACTTTTGCTGCTGTCACCTTCTGGGTCCCAGGGACCTTCCGAGTATGACTGAACCTGAACTTGATGGTTCTGAGTCCCTTCCCGCCATAACAGGCCCAGGCCCTGCTCAGGGCTGCCTCTGCTTGTTTTTTTCCCCCCACTAGACACTGGCATCTTTATACCAGTTATAGCTCAGACTATCATTCATAATTTTTTCAACTCCTTTGACTGAGAGGGGCCCCGCCCCAGCCTCACTTGGTGAGTCTGCTTCATCCCATGCACAGGTGGTATTTGGTCCCCATTACCTGCCTTGCGGGCACAGTGCTCCTGGTCACCTCTGTCTCGTTCCTGACCCAGGGCCCTGCAGTCTTGTGGCTTTAGCACCTGCCTCCTGCCAGAAATTTCTACTCCATTTCTTTTTTACAAAGTTTTTTGTTTTTTTTAATGTAGGGATATATGTGTCCTTCAGGTATAACTGTATAGAATTGAAGTGCTCATATTCCTTACTGGTTGCTGACCCTATCGAATATTTTATTATTTTTTCCTCTTTCCCAATTTCATTATCCTCTTTACCACCTACCTCCAAATATCAGCAGGGGACCATTCCGTGAACTTAAGTTGTGTTCTTCCAATCTGCCTGTCGTATGTTTGTTTCTGTCTAGGAAGTTTACAGAGAGTGTTTTTTTGTCCCCTGTAGAAAAGGTACGTCACTGATATCATAACATAAATCTCTCTTTAACTTCTCTCTGCACTGCATTTGAGAACCGTGCTGCTGTGTGTGAAGCCGCAGCTGCTCTGACCGGGACAGTGTGTGCCTTTGTGTGCCCCAGGTGCTGTGGTGTGTATCCTCTAATCTGGTGATGGTCACTTAGGATACATCCAAGTTTTTGTCCCTACAGATAGCACTGCAGCAAATAGCATCCGGTGTGTCTGTGACCTGTGTCCTAGTTTCTCTGGAATTGTTGGGTATATGTATATTTAATTTTGTTATTGCCAGATTGCTCTCCAAAAGTGTTTTTATCTGTCAGCTCTTTTAAATAAGAATTTTCCCTCGTTATGAAAAGACACAGGATATGAACAGCCAGTACCTAAGGAATCCCTGGAAGGAATTTAGTAACTCCCATGTCACGAGGTTATTCTGACGATTAAATAATTGAAGACAATAGTTTTTAGGGTTTTTATCATAGTAAAACAGAGAGCCACAGTATGTGAACAAATAAATGGTAGCTATATTCCTTCAGTAATTAAGTTTATCACTGTTTGATGGAAAATATTTCTTTCATTACTGAAACTTTCCTAAAGCACTCAGGTTTCCCAGGATCACAGTTTGAAAACCCACTGAATTAGAGTACTTTAATGCCCTTTTAGAATATTAAATAGCTCCTCGATTAGTTTTGGTCTCTTTTTCTTCTAACACCATTTTTTGAAGCCAAAGCAGATAGTGACAATTTCCCAGGAGAGTCCTTAAAAATGAGGTATGCGGCTGAGATCACTATCTCCCTCCCTGACATTTTCTTTGAGGTGAGTATGAGGAAGATGATGTTGACTTCCCTGGCTTGTCTCAGTTGGCACTCAGCCTCTAGAGGTAAAGCCGAAAGAAAGTAGGCTGGGGTCTCTAACTCGAGTCCTGTGCTTCTCCTTCAGCCACGTGGTGGCCCCACTGTGTGCCCCTCTGCCCACGTGTTTGTGGGCCGTGTGGGCAGTGAGTGGCCTGGGAATGAGCGCGTGTGGAATGCGTTCGTCCTGCCAGATGACAGCTCTGATCGTCCCCTCCGGCCCATTCTCCGCATTCCCTGCGTTCACTGCGTATTTCTCTTTCTACCCCGACACGGCGTAAACTTGTCTTTGGAATGGTCCTTTCTTATTTCTTCAAGTCTGATGCCTTGAATGTTTGTTTTTCAGCGATCAGGAACCTCCCTATTCAATGATTACATTGCACGAAATGGCAGAAACAGGTATTTTTTAAGTTTTTTAAAAAAAATACTTCCTACTAAATTAATGAGTTTGAAGAATTGTGACCATGTTTTTAAAAAATAAAAGATTCCAAAAATACTTAACACATATGACAAAGAAAAAAAATCTCCTAGTGTATGGAAATTTCCTATAGAAAGGACAGGAAATGTATATTGCATCCTGAATTTGTAGCCACACCTCTCAGTAATAGTTTTATCTCACTGACATTACTACCAGAAAAACTCCTTAGCATTGACAGACCCTTGACCCTAACTTTCCTAGAGTGGGAAGGATGATTTTTTGTCCTTCAATTTCCTAAGTGTAATTCTAAAAGTAGAGCCAACCGCTCCAGAACCTAATCTTCTTAGTGAACTCCTATGTCATAAATAAAATGCCAAAAATGATTTCAATCCTATTTTGAGACTGCAGGGCCATAGCTTGAATTTTCTCCAAATAAAGATGCCCAGAAATCACCAGACCCCTGGAAGTTCCGATTCGTTGCCTCCATAGTAACTCCTCACAATCGCTAACGATGCCCATGCCACACATTAGCTGCTTAGAAGCTACAGGCCGAAGGCCAACAGTGTTTGTGTTTTACCGTGAAGTCATCTCATGTTGTAAGATATGTTTTCACATTTCGAAAGCAGTAGCTCCAATGCGTAACCTTCTGGATTTGCTCTCAGATGAAGGCTGGCTGGACGTCGTGCAGTCGTTGATCAGAGTGATTCCGCTGGAGGACCCGTTGGGGCCGGCCGTCATAACGCTGTTGCTGGACGAATGTCCCCTGCCCACTAAGGTGCGCTGGTCTTTACCCTTCATGACGCTGTCGTCCGTGTTCAGACACAGGACGAGCGGCCACAGAGAGCGTATGATACATTGCATTTCCTCTTCGTGCAGTTGGGGTCTGTTTTATTCGATATTAATTTCATTATGTACACTTGGTTTTTTATTACTAACAGAGTAGTGCATCCTTCTAGCAATAGCTTACTGTAAAGCTTTAGTTTAAAATTTTAAAAATGTTAAAACTGGAAACATTTATATATAAAATATAAACTTTGTTTGGAAACTAGAAGATAGTATTCAGTTGCTGAGCTAATTTTCTTATCTTTAAACAATTCCCTCGTAACAAAATTTTTTACACATTTTTCTATTCAGAAAAAACATACTGAAAGCACTTTCGAGTCTTACCCAAACATTACAGATTGTATAACCTTGATTATCCCTTACATGGAACGAAAGTATCAAACTTTCATTGCTTGAAGGCCATAAACTCCATGGAAACCCTTCTTAAAAATGTCGGATTCTGGCGTCTTTCATTCGTTTAAGCCTCCGACATTGAGGCCCATCCAACATGCAGAAACAATGTAGACAGAAGGGAAACGTCCTCGGCCATGTCCCTGATGTCCTAGGAAACCGGCTGTTTCCTAGGCTTGTAAGAGGTTTGTTTCTGTTTTAATTTGCCTCAGAAACTCTGGTGAGATTTGTTCTTGGTAAAAAAAAAATTTTTTTCAAGTAAACTTTTTACTTCAACATCTCTAGGCCCTATTGTTCTAAGTTACAGCGGCATTTGGGTAGATTGTGTCAACTGAAATCATTTAACGGTTTCGTGATTCAAGAGCCCATGGCGTGTGTTTGGTATAACTGATACATTTGGAATGAAGTGGAATTTAGCAGTTCGTGTGAGACAGCTTGCAGGTTAATCGGACACCATTTCCCATCAGTGACGGTGTCACTGGGTGCACTGTATCATTTTTGTGCGGTTGTTCCAACACCTGATTATAGATTTTGTCTGGGAGAATTGCCTTGGGGGAAAAACCAAGTAGCATGTTTGTCAGATCCAGTTGTTTGTTTTTGTTTCTAGGATGCGCTCCAGAAATTGACCGAAATTCTTAATTTAAATGGAGAAGTAGCGTGCCAGGACTCGGGTCACCCTGCCAGGCACAGGAACATATCTGCCGTCCTGGGCTGCTTAGCAGAGAAACTGGCAGGTAACTTGGGGAAGCCCCAGCAAGGGTGGTCCGGGCCCCTCGACATCAGGAAAGAGCTGCCCTGCGGGTCTGGGCAAAGCCGCCGTGCCAGAAGCAGGATGCGCCTCCCCCGGCCCCCAAGACTGAGGGACAGGGGTAACTCAGAAGCCACAGAGGACAGTGCAGTGTAATTACGCTTTGAGGATTTTCAGAAGGAAATTTAAGAGAAAATGTGTTTATCAGTTTTAAAATTAAAAATAGGAGAAAAGGCTGAACTCAGTATAACAAAGATTATGTGTGTGCACATGTAATATACATATATGCATGCACATTATAAAGTTTAGGTAATGGAGACAAAGGTGGAGGGAAGCAGAAAAGGGATTTTAAATCGGAGCAGTTACTGAGAGGAGAAGCAGATAGTTAACTTATTTACGAATAGAAGCCACTTTAGAAAAGTTAACATTGAAGTACAGCTGAACAGCTCAGTCATGTCGCACATGGTGGAAGGAACAGTGGGTGAGAAAGCAGAACAACTGGGTGCTGGTTCACACTCTGCCATGTGCCTCCCCCCCCTACTGCCTGCCCCCTGCCTTATGCCCTGGAGTAAGTCACCTCACTCAGGGGCTGAGTTGCTCAGCTGTGACATGGGGACAGTACTAGTCCCTACCTCAGAGCGGGAGGCTTGGGTAAGATAATGTACAGGAGAGTACTTTGGGAGAGTTCTACCCAAACAGTTTCAGTGTGGTTGTCTCCTGATTAAAAATCACCCAGCGCATTGAATTATATCAGTGTTTGTTGTGCTTATCTAGGTCCTGCCAGCATAGGTTTACTCAGCCCAGGAATACTGGAATATTTGCTACAGTGTCTGGTAAGTGAGACATCAAAGCCAGTTATTCTTAGTGGTTTAGAATTGTGCTTTTTTCTCAAACTGCCAGCCTAGCCGTTGGCACAGAGGATGGAATCAGTTACAAATTTTATTTGCAGGTGTTCCCTGAGTGTTTCTTCCCCCCTATGTTAGAAAAAAATGAGGGTGGGATGGCAGTTTATTACGAGCAATAACAGCTGGGTTGGTCTGGTATTGAATTTAGTTATTAGATAGCAGCCGTGACCAACTCTTTAGTGTGAGTCCTCGGGGTCTGCCAAATGGTAGTAGGGAGCTCCCCAGTGTGGACAAAACTGCATGGCATTCCAGGCCAGGAAGCCATCAGGTCCGATTTCCAGTGTAGACGAATCTCTGTTCCTCCCTCCCCCGTTGCTTCTGCTCTTAAAACTATTGCTGTTGAGGGTTCGGTGTATCGTCTCGTGGCTGCTGTGGCTCCGCCGTCAGGTCTCACTGCTGGACTGCAGCCTTGACTGGTCTGTAGTTTAAAGTTGTTTTCGCAGGCCTGGTGAGCACTGGCCTTCTTCAGAATCCAAAAGACCTTATATTTCAGTACCTACGTGATATGTACTTAAAACTCCTAACGCTGTTAGGAACGTACTCTAGGACCAGTGATTTGGCACTTGGGAAGTTCAGTTGAGGGTACAAAACCACCCGGACAATGCGGCGAGCCTTCATTTTACGACAGGACATAATCAAGAGCAGAATCGCCTCCTTCAGACGAAGAGCTGCGGGAGTTCTGAGAAGGCAATTGGGAGGTGGGAGATAGGGGCTGGGAGAGTCGTGGAGACGGACTGTCCTGATGAGGGTGGGGCCCCTGCTGGGCCACGCCATAGGGTAGGCTTTGATGGTGCACACAGGGAGGGGGAGATGGGTTCTGGGCTGAGGGCGGAGGCCCAGAGATACGCATGAGCACGCTCCTGGCATATTACGTAGAAAGGATTGTCTGATCCGAAGATAGTGTTCAGAGACATGAGGACATGTTTGCCAGAAGGGGAGGGCCTAGGGCCTGAAAAGCCAGACAGTGGGATTGCAAATGGACAGGGCAAGAAGCTGGCATGGGCTTTGCAGCAGGGGAGGCTGGTGGTTATACGAGCTCTGCAGACCCTACTCGGGCTCCAGGGAAGTGAGTGGATCTGATGGGTGCTCCTCTGCAGACCCCTCACGCAGCTGTGCGAGAGGATGGCCGTGAGACGCGGAGCTGAGCGGGCAGACCCTTCTGTCCACGTGAGCACATGTGATGTGCACGTCACTGTCACTGAAAGAGCTCCCTTGCTGCTCTCTCCCTCCTGCCATCAGCATCTTAGGGCCCCTTTCAGAGAACAGAGGGAAAACTAAGCCATTAGTTGTTAATTGCATTATTATTCTAGAACATGGCAGTGATGAATTGTTCCTTTTAGGGTGCTGAATAAAGAGTCATTTTTTTTGCTATAATTCTATGTTTCTCTTTGGCTTGCTTAAATGAATGTAAGAATCAGCATTATTTTTATTTAATAAAGCCTTAATATAAATGTTACTGAGTAAAATAACAGTGCATTTGACCAGATACTTTTGAAGTTTCTGAATCCAAGTGAACCCAGTAAACTCAAGAAAATAACATAAGACTGAAGAGACTCAATCTCAGTTTTTCATTACTTAACAATATTAGCAAATGGATAATCGAGGACTTGAATGAGTAAAACTTTCTGACTGCTCCAACAAAAATCTGGCACATACTGGGCGAGAAGAGGGAGTCGGCGACTTGCCGCCTCTGCAGGGGATGATGTTTCCGTTGCTGTTGTTTTACCTTTCGTTGTCTTTCAGAAGCTGCAGGCCCACCCCACGGTCATGCTGTTTGCACTTATCGCACTGGAAAAGTTTGCACAGACAAGTAGGTATAGTGACTTCTTGCACTAATGATCTTACATGTCGGGTGTTAGAAATCTTATTTCCTTAGTTACTGGCTGAGTTTACGCTTGGAGCCCCACCAGACACGCATCCGTCCTGTTTCTGTCTGTGTGGACACCTCAAGGCCAGTGAGCTGTAACAGGGACAAAGGCGAGAGTTTTCTCACCTAAGAACCCAGACTTGGTAACAGTGATTACCCCCTTTTTATAGCTAAAAATTTAGTGAGAGGTTGCTACTTTCTAGAAAATATCAGAGCTCTTGAGCCGTGTCATTATTCTAGTTTCCAAGTTCTGCAGTTACCTCTCCTCACTGCTTCCCACCACTAACCTGCCCGGCAAATCACGTGACTTTTTCAGGGCTCACTCGAGTTCTGTCTTTCCAAACAGGTGAAAATAAGTTGACCATCTCCGAATCCAGTATCAGTGACCGGCTTGTCACGTTGGAGTCCTGGGCCGACGATCCTGAGTACCTGAAACGGCAGGTTGGCTTTTGTGCCCAGTGGAGCTTGGACAATCTCTGTGAGTCGCCGTCTCCCACCGAAATGCCTATTTCCATCCCCAACCCATTTCTTGTACAGGATCACTGGTCTCCAGTTTGCAGTAGGGAGCCGGCTCTTTCCTTAAAGGTCCTCTGCGTGGTAGGTCGGCGGGTTGGCTGCTCTGTAGCATCAGAGCATTCTGTGGGCCCCGCAGACAAGAATCGTATGGAATGCTTCTGATTCCAGCGCTCTCCCGCTCAAAACACTGCTTCCCTGTCTCCTGCTGCATCAAGGCTGTTAATGAAATGGCCCTGTGTAATCAGCTATTCCCAATACCACTGTCTCCTCCTGCTCTACAGAGAGGTCTCCATCACGCCTGCCTCTGGGCCTGTTCCCTCGCTTGGAATTCCCTCTCGTTACTCTTCTCCCCGACCCAACTTTGCTCTTCAGAACTCCAGTTATGTCTGATACACTGACGTACACAACAGGGGTGGCTCCTGATTTTCCTCTTTTTCTCCTTTAAGGGCTGCTGGAATAAGACCATTTCACCCCTGTATCCTCACTCCCCATTCACAGCGAGCACCGTGCTGGAGCGCAGTTGGGCGTGGAACTGCCAGCTGTAGCTGCAGCATTGTAGGGCTGGCGGGGTGCACAGCCCGTGTTCTGCCAGTTAGAGAATAATTCCGAAAAAGTGCGATTCAGGTTGTTGCATGCAAAACTCAGGCAGACCTCTTTTTATTGCATTTTTGCGTTTTGCAGATAATTGCATTTTTTGCAAATGGGAGGTAACGCCAAGAGAAAGATTACAACTCACTGAAGACTCAGAGGATGGTTAGCATTCTTTTTTAGCAATTAGGTATTTTTTAATGAAGGTATATACATTATTCTTTTTAGACATAACATTGTTGTACACTTAATGGACTATAGTATAGTATAAACATAAATTTTATACGTGCTAGGAAACCAAACACTCCGTGTGGCCTGCTGTATTGCGATGCTCCCGTCATGCAGTGGTCCGAACAGAACCCACAGTTTCGCTGAGTCGTGTCTGTGGTGGACACAGGGAGTGCAAGCATAGACCCAGCAGTGCTGCCTTTCCTGGTATTTGCTTGATCCACGTGGTCGTGCAGCCACAAAGCCAAGGTTATAAGTCTTGCCACCAGCTCTGCCATTTACAAGTACCTGCACTTCTGAACAAGAGTGCCATAACACTAACTTCTTTCCCACAACAGCCTGCCTTAGAGACATGACCACTTTTCCTCTTGCAGTTTTGAAAGAAGGTAGGCAGCTGACCTATGAGAAAGTGGACTTGAAGAGCATTAGGGCCATGCTGAATAGCAATGATGTCAGCGAGTACCTGAAGATCTCACCTCATGGCTTGGAGGTAAAGCTCCTGCAGATGGACCGTTAGGGGTGGTGGGGGGAAGAATCTTGTTCTCGTCTTCACGCCCCGGTTCTGAACAAAAGCAATTTCCCGCAGAGGAGATGGAAGTGTATTTCATAGTCACAGGATGGTTAGAGGGACAAGAGGCAGGAGAGAGGTTGGGGATATCCTTTGCTCCTATATCCCTCGTGGTGTTGTACATACAGGAAGCACACTGATATTTATTGACTGTTTGGTTAAATGTGTCCATTTTTAATCTCTGCCATTTTATTCAGCTAAAGGTAACAAGACTAGTGTTTCTAATAAAAGAACCCCTTCTTTTTTAAATCCCCGCATAGCCAATGGTACTTGGGCTAGTGCTTCCCCTCTTTCCTGCATGTTGGAAATGCTTCCGATTTTTTGGGGAAGGTTGGTGAGAGCTGCTGATGTACAGGAAGGTACCGCAAGGCACTAGACACATCAAGATTAAGGAGCTGTTTGAAGAGTGACCGCAAACAGCTCTTTGATCTTACATATTGCCAAGTGTTCTCTGTACTTCTCTGCTTCCCATTGTTGTTAGGTGCCACATCCTATGCCCTAAAATGTCCCCCTTTCCCACCACCAATATCAAGGACAGGTTAGGGCAATGTTTATGCATTTGTGATAGATTCTACTTTGAGAGCAAAGCTCTGGAAGTATTTAAAAATGAAGTCAGTAGCCTTCACTGATTCTTACTGCAGCCATCTGTAAGGCCTTCCCACCCTGTTAGAATTCCCCAGAAAGAAAAGTATAACATGGCGTGTGCTTCATTCAGCTTTGCACTCCTGTCACTGCGGAACCACTGAGAAGGGAACAGTAGCCCACCAGCGGTTTTCATAAGGAGAAGGTGCAGTCAGCCTCCCCAGCGGTCGGTTTTCCCCGGTGGTCTTCGGGTACTGATGGCGGACTGTCCCGCTCTCTGGTTTCGCCAGGCTCGCTGCGATGCCTCCTCTTTTGAAAGCGTGCGGTGCACCTTCTGTGTGGATGCTGGGGTGTGGTACTATGAAGTAACCGTGGTCACTTCCGGCGTCATGCAGATCGGCTGGGCCACACGCGACAGCAAGTTTCTCAATCATGTGAGTACCCGGGGGATGTGCCGCTGAGCGTGGCGGCAGGTTTTTGCTCAGTGGGTGGAGGATACTTCTTTTTCAGATAGGTTTGCGCAGTAATTGTTTCCTGGGCTGAACCGTGCGGTGCCAGATCCCTCACAGTAGCTCACCGGCCTGATTCAGAGGCAGAAGCAAGTGAAACTGCCCCTCGGCTTTTTCTCTCTTGTGTTTTAAGTTCATGGTAATTTTCCCCCGAGAGGCTGGATGTGTCCTTTGTGCGCTCTGCTCTGGCCCCAGCCAGTCGTTGGCTCAGCTTTTATATGGGGGCCATGATCATTTTTAACTTCCATTTAGGCTTTAAGAACTATGTCGAAGTTTTCTTCCCTCCATTAAATATGAGGTGTAGGCTTTTCTTACTTGACGTCCCTTGGAATTAGTGGGCACATCTGTTTTCAGTATTTAGTATTTACCTCTCACTGTAGACGGTGGTAGCATAGAACGGAAGGGAGTCCAGCAGAGCAGGCTGGGTCGGGCCACCACTACTTGAGTGTGAGAGGCTGGGGTTCTCCCCTCCCTACAGGTATCGTACCCTTCCCAGGCCCAGTCTAGTCGGCTTCCTCCTGTTACCCAAATTGTACGCTGTTTGGAGTTAATCCAGTTTGATCAGGAATATTTTGTGGATATGTGATTTTTACCCTTTGAGCTGGGAAGAGCCCCTTGGGTTATTTTGTTAACCTAAACAAGTTCCTATCCCATATGCAAGGCCCTGGGACAGGTTTTAGAAGTGACCCAAGGAGACCAAACTAAGCTTGCCCGCCATGAGCACAGTGAGTAAAGGGGCCCTTTCAGGAAGGCTCCGTAGCCTCCAGAATCGCTCCTGCGTCCTGCTTCCCTCCTTGCTGGACCGAGGCAGGTTGGAGGCAGGAGGCCAGTGCACTGGTCAGGCCCAGACCCCCGTCCAGCGAGGAGAACCAGGCTCCAGTGTGCCGTCACTTTTGTCGGGAACCTTCCCTGACACAGGACCTCCTTGTCGACGGGACCTCATTCAGACCCAGAAGCTTGGGGCTTCTGTGGGGCACCTTGTAGGCAGAAGTAAGTGGGGCCAGAGAACAATGCTAGTTAATCTCTTAGTTCCCAACCTGGGCACTGATTTAAAGGATCCATTACATTTAGAGCCTGCCCCAAATGATATCCTAACGATGATTTTTTAGGACTAAGAAAAAAAAAATTCTAGCCTTGGCTGATGTGGCCCAGTCAGTCAGAGCATCAGCCCATAGACCAAAAGGTCACGGGTTCGATTCCCAGTCAGACCACATACCAGGTTGCAGGTTCGATCCCCAGTCCAGGCACATATGAGAAGGTGACCAATTGATATTTCTCCCTCACACTGATGTTCCTCTATCTCTCTCTCCCTCTCCCTCCCAAAACAATGAAAAAAACCTCAGGTGAAGATTTTTTTTTTAAATCTTAATTTCCAGAGCACCTTCATTTTAGAGTCTATTATCTGATTCCCACAACAGTTTTTACAATCCCAATTTCCATTTCACAGATGAGAAAACTGAGAGCAGGGCATAAAGAAACGGACCAGAATCAGTTGCCTTCCTATTCTACGATAGTTCTTTTCTTTGCTTTGAAATAGGGAGCATCTCAGAGAATTGTCTAATCTCCTCATCCCAGAAAAAGTTACTCAAGAATTAGAAGAAATATGGATTCCTCTAGGGAGGAAGCGTCAGTGTAAAATTCATCCCTCCCGATGCGGCGGCAGACACACGGGTCCAGGGGCAGGGCACCTGCGACTGGGTGTTGCAAATATGTCTTTAAACGATCACCGAAGCTGGACCCTTTCATCCGATGGATGAAACTCACTTCTGCCATGTAGTTGCAGAAACTTTGGCTCCTCACGTTAAGAGGCTTAAAATACTGTTTTCCTACCTTCCAAACTGCTTGGTAGACTGTTAATTTCTTTCCTTAAAAAACAAAAAACATTTTTCTGTGTCCCAAGTACTGGTCAATTCCCTGTTAGAAACTGATAAAGCCTGATTATATCTTTTCCCAAAAGTACAATTTTAATGATGTTGTCATTCTTACAACTTTGATTCAAATGGACATTGTTCTGGTGATTCAGACTCTGCCTGTGCAGACAGGGTGTGGTTTTATGGAAGAAGTCATTCCTAGGATACACCCAATTTCTAAATTTGGAGTTGGTCCACAGTGCCTTTTTATTTTAGCTCTTACTGCTTGGGCTTCGGTTTTGAACGGATGAGCAAAGTGTGGAGCTTGGAGATCCAGCGTTTAAATAAGAAACTTAAGGATAATTGGTGTTCAGGTCCCTACAGAACAGTTTGTTTTATTATTTTGTATTTTTATGGGGGTTTTGGAGTAGTAAGTTCCCAAGGGTGCATCTTGACTTGTCAAAAATATTTTTTGCCTTTTCATGAGTGTATACCTTGTGGCCAGCTTTTCATATACTCATCTTTAATCTTCAGAGAGTTTAGGAAGTTGGTATTCTCCTATTTAGAGGTGAGAATGAAGTTGGGAGAAATTAATTTAGAAACTTGCGCAAAGTCACGTCGTTTCCAAGTGCTGAAGCAGTCAAACCCTGGTCAAGATAACCCAAGGAACACTCTGTACCTCGGAGAAGCTGACTCTTGTCTTAGAAGAGGAGTAACTTGGAGGCCAGTCGGGGTCTCCCAGACCATGAAGGGGTTTGGGAACTAGACAGACAGGTTCCAGGGCTGAGAGACAGAATTAAAAGTGTCCGTGTTTTCAGGGCCACAGTGCCGGTACTACTGCAGCAAATCATTCAGAACCATCCCTCCATCCGGGGACCCTCTCACCACGCCAGGGGTCTGATGGGGCGGGTCTGGTTGGCCAGGCCCAACATCTGACCCCCGCTGCCTCCAGAGCAGGAGGCGGGACCCTGCGTCTTCATTACATTCCCGTAACAGGAAGGGGTTGGGATGCTGGGCAGCACAGAGAAAGGACAGTGTCCACCATGCGTGGGAGGATTCGAAACATTCCCTGAATGATGAGCTGTAGATAAACTTTCTTTTGTTTTGTTTTGTTTTGTTTTGTTTTGAAGTAATGTTTCTAGTACTAAAATACATGACCAGAAACAGGCAGATCAAAATTATCACCCCAAATACCAAGTTAGCTGCCCTGTCCTCTCACTCACTTGTCTCAGCCAGTGGAAACCACAGTTAGTCCTGCTGGGAAGGTTTTCGGGAGGATGTGGTCCACCTCGATTGCCCTCTGAGATGCAGGCTCAAGGGGGCTGTTAGAGTGCATCTCTGCTTGGCAGGGGCACCTGCTTCTCAGCCTGTAGAAGCTGGTCTGTGGTGAAAAGTATTTGAGCTCCCCCGTTGTCCCACGGTGCCACTCTGCTGGGAAGTTCATCTGGGCCTGGAAGACACTGCATGGTCAAGTCCACTCTTCACAAGTCTTGGTGGCTAGCAGTCTGCTAGGGATTTCTTTCAAGTGTTCTGCGGTGGACTTGTAGGACATTAGAAAGTTTAGAAAACAATTGTTTGCCTTTTGCCTACTTCCCAACGAACACCCATAAAATAAGAAGTTGGTTTTTTACTCACTTGATCAGGCTTTAAAAGGGATAGATAGCAAGGGGTTCTTTCCAGCAGACTGGTGAATTTCTGCCCTGCCTGAAGGCAATTTAGATGCAAGTTTATTTAACTCTTAAATAGTCTGAGTAGTGCATTCAGAGCAGCTAATTCAGAAGTCTCGCTTTGGAGAACAGGCATCCAAATTCAGTATGTTGTGTCCAGGAACTCTGTGCATCAGGGTGCACTTGTCTCGGAGTCTGGTAGAGCCTTTTTCCAGTCCATGTCTCACTGCGTTGTTTATCTCATGGACTGATTAGACCACCACTGGGCCCTGAAATCTTCCTGGGTTTGGCCCACATTTTCAATGTCTTTCTCCATAAGAATCTTTCACCCTTGATCCTTGGAGATAACAGACGTCTGATGTGCATGCTTCCTCTGTTTTTACAGTCGCTCAGAATAACTTAAGATTCCATCCACCTTTTTTAAAGCAAAATAATTGTGAAATAATTAAAAGGCGACACATAATAACAGAGGGTTCCAAGGGCCTGTATGCCACTCAAACTGAGCTGGTCTGAGTAGCTCTTAGCTGACCATCCACTGTAACCTTCGTCTCGTCTCCAGTCTTGAAATCTGTGAGCGTGTGGGGGTTTTAAAGTCCGTTACCAGAATGGTGTGCACCCGGCCGCAGTGAAGTGGACCGCACACTGTCCTTGGAATCAGAAGACTCCAAGGTCCGGACTTGACTCTCTAGTGATGTGCCTGTGGGCGAGCTGGCTCACCTCTCCGAGCCTTTATTTCTTCTCACAACGGAGTCGGCCGCCACCAGCCTCGAGGTGGTTAATGAGGATTCAATGAACTCACAAATGTGAGACGTGGCAGATACTTGGTGAGGTCATTCTCCATCCACTTAGAACAAGATTCTGGGTCAGAACTTGGGTATCTTCCAAGAACACAGGCTCTCCTTTCACCCAAAAGAAAATTTAGAATTCAAGGCACAGGTTAATGGTTAAAAAGACAGCCTCCTCCCACCAGCCGGCAGCCTTGCTGACCTTCCGGACCCTGTCTCCCCGCAGGAAGGCTACGGCATTGGCGACGACGAGTTCTCCTGCGCCTACGATGGCTGCCGGCAGCTGATCTGGTACAATGCCAGGAGTAAGCCTCACCTCCACCCATGCTGGAAAGAAGGTATTCTCTCCGTCCATCGGGAGTTTACCAACTGGGTTTTAGGGCATTGGTCATTGTGTTGGGCCTTGAGAGGTTTTAATGGAAGGTATTAAATGGGAAAAGGGTTAGTTAGCGTTCATATCCCCTGCCATGGATGTGAATAGTTTTTCTCTGGTGGAGCCCTTCCTTCAGCAAAAACATCTCAGAGTATAAAGTTCTTTATTTAGTGGGAAGTGACCCTGGTAAGGTTAATGTGAATTCCAGTTTCCTCTCTGGGGGTGGTCTGGAGGATATGGACATTGCCATGCCAGTTCAGTGAGGACGTTTTCAGAGACCAGATGGCCGTGGGACAGCCACCATCCAGTGGACACATTCCGGACACCTCTAGCGCAGCCTCCAAAGATGGCTTAAGCGTTTAGGTCCTCAAACACATCTGCCCAGCCCCCACTCCCCAAACATCAGGCTCAGGATGCCACAGGGGCCACCCCGGCTACCAGAACACTCAGTCCTGGGTCAAGGGTGTTTTGCAGGAATGTATCTTAGCAACAGCATGATCTTTTTCACCCCATTCAATTTTTGTTCCCTCCAGTTTGCAGTATCCAAGGCACCAGACCCATGAAAACATTTATTAATGAAAGATTAAAGCAGCAAAGTTAGAGCCACACAGTTGGTGTGTTAAATACTGAGACTGAAGGATTTAAGGCTATTGAGTCTTTTCACCCCTGGCTAAATTCAGTGTAAACAGGCTTTGCCCGCCACAGCACCACTGCATTGGAGGGTGGTATTCTCAGGGGGCCTCCTGGTGACCTGCCCACCCACCCAGCCACCCACCTACCACCCCCACACTGGTTCTGAAGATACACAGTCAGATGGCAGGGGATGGAGCCTGTGGAAGGATTTTATTCCCAGCACTGGACTGGAACTAGAGAGGGGATATATCCGCTCTTCTGCCCCAAGCCCTCTTCTCTCTGTTTCCTGCCCCAGTCAGCATTGTAAACGTAAATGGAATTTTCAGGCATGTTAAGAGAGCAGGAAATTGATCACTGTGCAGGGACAGCTTCACTTGATTAACTAAACTGACAGCGTGGGAAAGGAAAAAACTGTAAAAGCCAACGTAAGTCTTCACTTTAATGGCTTGCAGGTTCTTAAAGGAATATGAAACTTCATTTACCGGAGCATTAGATAGAGGCACTGTCTGCAAAGACTGTCTGGTTTGTTTTTTAAATAATTTTAAAAAGCATTACTGAAGTAATATGTTTATTACAAAAATTTGGAAAATAGGGGGGAAAAGAAAAGTGAAGCTAAAATCCCTTGTACTTCCTCCATTCAGGTATTTATTTTAAGAAACAAAAATTTGGTGTAAATATATTGTCATATAATTATACTTTATTAATCAGTGCCTCAAGATTGGCCAGTTACATTTTAACCTTTTTAAATCACTATTATAAAAATGTACTACAAGCCACTCTGGATTTCCTCAGGATAAACGCTTTAAGTGAAACTCCTCCTGCAAGGGGGATAAAGAATTTCATTTTTCAAGCCCTTTCGCTCCGTAATACCAGATGCCCTGCCACCCGCAAGGAGTGTCATCTTCCACGTCATCACTGTGTAATCCACATGTTCATCTCCAACAGTTTAGAAAGCAAAAGCTTCATGAGCGAAGGTGAACACCACCGCCAAAACCATGCTTTGGGGCGGCTGTTACCTTAGGGCGTTTTAAATCTCAACCAAGAGGCAAAAAAGCACATGGTTTTGATTCCAGCAAATTTCACTGATCCCAAAATGCACGTATCTTTTTTCACATTTTTAACATCTTCGAAATTGGGCCTGTCGTGGATTAACTGACAGCACTTTCTTCCCAGCGCTGCACTGAAGCACTGGTTACGTAGGGCTCAGAGCAGTGCGGAAGGAGCAGGGGAGAGGGGTGTTGACTCCTGGCTACTGCAAATGCAGGCTCAGCGCAGTGACATCGGAACCCTGCAGCACTTAGTAAAATCCAATAGTGTCACCGTTATCGTAACAGTGTTTTGCTCTATCCTGTAGGAGATACAGTAGGATTTCTGTTGGACTTGAATGAAAAGCAAATGATCTTCTTTTTAAATGGCAACCAGCTGCCTCCTGAGAAGCAAGTCTTTTCATCTACTGTGTAAGTAGCTTTTTCCAGTAAAAAATTTGAGGAGATGCACGGAATGCACTTTTCTCCAGAAAAAAGACTTTGCCCATTTATATAGTCAGTTGCGAATGGGTCCTCAAACTTGAAATAAAATGGTTGAGAAACCATTTTATTTCAAGTTTGAGGACCCATTCGATCATACCTACAGCTATCCTGGAGTTTTACCTGACAAGCAAGGGCAGGAGATCCCTTCCTGGGACCAGATAGAGCGGCCCGGTCAGCCTAGGTCAGGACACAGAGCCTGCCGCCCTCTCGGCCAGGGTGTGACAGTTCCGACCTCTGCAAACCCCGTCGTGTGTGAGCTTTGCTTTGCTTAATGAACTTGCCTAACCTCTGCATTCATGTTTACCTGTAGATCCGGATTTTTTGCTGCAGCTAGTTTCATGTCATATCAACAATGTGAGTTCAATTTTGGAGCAAAACCATTCAAATATCCACCACCTGTGAAATTTAGCACTTTTAATGATTACGCCTTCCTGACAGCTGAAGATAAAATCATTTTGCCAAGGTAAGGGGCCTGTGCCCACTGTGTCCAAACCTTCGCATACACCCCATGAGAAATTACAAGTTTCTATGTTGGGAACTGCCCTGCCTGGTTTCAGAAGCTGTAACCCCGCCATGGCTAAGGCTGAGTGAGTGACCCGGGGACCATAAGTCACTAAAGAGACGAAGCTTATCTCCCTGGCAAGGGTGTCACCTCTGCTCCTTTTACTTCACCCTGCCTGGCCCCCAGTGCTTGATTGGTTAGCCAATGACAGGTAAGATTCCTCAAGGAAGGGACGACCTAAAGACAGGCACGATCATGGGGAGGCCCCAGGGAAGGACTTGGGGGACTATAGAAAAAGGAGGTGATGGACCTGTGCCCCTCGGCTTTGACACAGCCTGAGTCCTCATTCTGTCTGGACGAAGTCTCCTAATCTCTTGGCTGCCTTACTTCCCCTGCCTGATTTAAGCCTGAAACTATGCCTTAATCGTGAAACAATGCTGGAGGTGGGTGAGGCCCAGGAAAGGGCAGGTTCCCCAGGGCTATCAGGCCTAAGAAAGAATGCATAAAATCCTGTGAAACCTGCTTTGCTAATACCCTCAATTTAAGTGATAAGGGTCCAAGCCTGAAATGAGTTTGTTTCCCCCAAATTTTATGGCCCTTTAGCTATTTGACCCTGAGGCAAAATAGGCCCTCAGAGTTCTTTGAATGCTATCTATTGTTTAATAATTTTTGCCTGACGATGATTGATGAGCTTTATTCCTGTGCTAATTGAACCCAGTGAAGTCCTGTCCAGGCAGGGGTCTGGGCCCTCACCCCTTGAGAGTGGGCCGAGGTGCTCTGAGGCTTTTTCTCCTCTTGAGAGAGAATCCATGCCGTCCCTTTTCCTCCACAGGACTCAGTAGTCCCTGTGAATTTCTCTAGCGTCACCCACAATGCCACAGACCCCACAAGCCAGGGTCTGTCCGCATCATTTCTAGAGGCTTTTTTTCAACTTTCTACAAATAATCTGAAATCTAAGTAAATAGTACTTCCTAGGAAATATGAATTACTAAAACACATCCCAGAAGAGTATTTTTTAAAAAGCCATTATTATAAAATTAATTGGAAAAAATTAAGAGCTGTGGTCCCCAGAAGCACCTGACCGAGGCAGTTTCACACGGGACTGCCACCAGGCTGTTAGGTAACAGGTGAGGTCACTGCCCTTTAAAGTGCTGCAGGCCCCAGAAAGAAAGACACTCCAAATGGTGGTTATGAGCTGAACGACCTTGGTTATGAACGTCAGACAGTGTAACACATGCACACACACACCAAAAAGCCCTGCACACCAACTTCACTTGATGTCCGTAAATCCTAAACGTTGGGAAGTGAAGTCCATCTTTTAACAGACTTGGGTTTGTGGAAACAGACTTCTCGTTGGGTTTCACTGCGTGGTAAGAATGCCAACGCTGTTCTGCAGCTGTTAGGACAGCGGAGGGCATCTTGGGTGAAACTTCACAGCAGCGGTGGTTGGCTCAGCCTCAGTGGACGAATGCCCGCTTTCCTTCCGTATGAAACGCTCCTGGTCTGTTCCTTAAGCTGGGAAGGACTCCAGCTGCTTCCTGGTAACCACTTCAAGTTGAAACTTGTTTCACGATGTGAGCCAAAGTTTCTCATCCTTTAACAGAGCAGCTTCCTGGGCCTTTGTGAAGAAGAGCATTGCTGTTACTAATTGCTGTTACTGTCACATGTGTTATGTCAGTGACGAGTCTCTCCCTGCAGTGGAGGCAACCACACGGGCCCTGGCGTGGCCCGTGTTGGCCCGTTACGCCCCTGAAGGTGCCTGTGACGTAATGTTGTAAGCCTAGCCCGGTGTTGGCTCAGACGGCGGGTGTGTGAGCACCTGGGCTGCGCTTCACCTTGGACTCAGTGCCCCAAGGCCCGAGAGTGCCTCAGCAGTTTCCAGAGGAACCGGAAAATGTCACACAGTGACAGCAGCATCATCTGCAGTAGGAAGCTTCCAGAAATGGCCCAAAAACCGAAGGGCCACTTACATCCCAGCTTAGGGACCTAAAGTTTATTCCTAGAACTTCCCCGTAACTTGTCGTGGTGCCCGACAGAGATTCTGAGCCTGATTTCCTCTTGGTGAAAGTCCGAAGTGACAGCTCTCTCATCTGTCACACCCCGTCACTTTTTTCATGTAGCCTGTCTTGCATGTGGTGCATACACCAGTCTGCCTTCTCACAAACACCGTGAAAGGCACGATCGATCCATCCAGAGTCCCCTGAAGGCTTGCTGAAGTTAAAACTGCCTTGGCATTTAGTTAGCCGCCCCCGCGGGATCACACTTTCCGAAAGTCAGATGGTAACAGGCATCTGCTAGGGGCAGATCTCCTTTTGCGGGCAACTTCTGGGCACTCTCTTGGTGCCGCGTCAGGGCAGCGCTGACAGGGCGGCCTGCCTGGAATAAGGGCGGCAGAGTTACAAGCTGCACTGGACTTTGTTGTCACCGACAGTGACGCCAGGTAGGAGTCGTCGGAAGCTACCTGAGTGGCTTTCTTAATGCTAGTACATTCCAGTCACGCTTGCTTACAAAGTGTGGCTTTAAGTGCTAACATGCCCAAGACCGTTTTCTATGCCATTAATGTTTTCAGCCCGTGTCCAAAATTTTACATTCAGGGATACTTCTCACTGGAATAGTGTCCTTCCTGGTTTCAGATGAGGGGATCCTGGCCCTGTTGCTTCTTGGGATTTTGTAGACTGGTCTGCATTGTGTGTGTTCTCTGTCTCTAGTACCTCTCCTTTTGTTCATTCTTCTTTTCTTCTGTACCTTTTTATAATGGAAAACTTTAAATACACACAAGAAGAAAAAAACAGAATAGCACAGTGAAGCACTGTGTATCCGCCCAGCTCTCAGCCACAGTAGTCCTCCACGTCGGGCCACCCGCCCCTCCGCAGTCCTCCTTCGTCTCTTAATAACCTCGTCATCACTCTGGGTTCCCTGGCCAGGACCCCGGTGTGTCCTTGACACCTTTCTTTCTGCCCTTCCCATGTCCCATTCCTCAGCAAGTCCTGTAGGCCGTGTCTTCAGGTTACAGCCCAGGTCCAGCCGCTCCTTACCGTTCATTCTCACTGCTCCCATTGTGGCTCCAGCCTCCTTTTCCCCTGGATTTACTTTTGCCCTGTTCCTGCCTTGCCCCCCTTCACTCTGTTCAGTCAGTACAGTGTCCAGAATGACGGTGTTACAGTTTAAATCACATCATGTGCTTCTCTGCTCAGAACACTCGTGGCTTGCCATGTCACTTAAGATAAAAGCTTAAATCCGCACGGTGACCTGCCATGCCCTACAGTGTGTCTCCTCCTCTGTTACATCTTCGAATCCATCTCCTTCCGTCTCCCATTCATTTAGCTTCTTCAGCCTCCGGCCTCCTTGCTGCTTCTAAAATATACTCTAGTTTTATTTATTTCTTTTTACAGAGCGGGGAAGGGAGGGAGAGAAACATCAGAGTGTGAGAGACACAGCCATCAGTTGCCTCTGGCACACTCCTGACTAGGAGCGTGGCCCCCAACCGAGGCTTGTGTCCTCACTGGGAATCAAACCAGCAACTTTATAGTTCACAGGCTGGCGCTCAAATCAACTGAGCTGCACCAGCCAGGGGTAAATGTCACCTTTTCTGGTGCGCCCTCCTTGTCATTTTCCCCACTGTATTTTTCTTCATGTTCATGCTCATCAGTGCTTGACACTCCGTATAGTTCACTTTTTTATTTAGTTTCTTGTCTGTCTCCCCGCACTGAATGTAAGCTTTCTGAAGGCAGAGAACGTTTTTAGTCCTGTCTCTACTGCTGGATCTCCAGGGCTGGGCACAGTGTCCGACACAGAGGAAGGCCTTACGTACCTGAGTGAATGTTTCATGTTTCTCCTGCCCACCCGTCAGGGCTGACCTTCAGCAGTGTGGTTCTGTCTTTCCATTCCACACAGTGAAAATACAAGGGTTCTAAGCTGAAGCGCCTGGACTTTCAGGGAGTCTGTGATGGGCAATTATAAAACCTAGTGAAATTGTATGAAAACTTACGTTGGTGCGTTTTTCTTGGGAAAGGCCCTATGCTTTCCATGAAGTTCTCAAAGATGTGTGACTTACACGGTTGAAAATTTGCTGGTAAAATGAAAAGAATGCTGGAGTAAGAACTAAAAGATCTGAACCTGATTTCTCAGTCTGTTTGCGATGTGTGACCTTGTGCAGATCAGTTCCTTGAACTGTTTGTACCGTGGCAGTGACCATGACGTCTTTATTCCAGATGGAACCCAGTGATTTCCAGCCTTTGTGAGATGAAATGCCTGTGAAAACTACTGGACCAAGTTTAGTGTACTTCATGTACTAGAATGCAAGAATGCCCAAATCTGCAGAATATTTTACGAGTTTTTAGCATTTATTTAAGCCAAACTGAGAACGTGCTCAGAACCAAGCTCTCACGGGGTACAGGATAGTAACAATTTAACATTTCCAGTAAATAGAGATTGTGCGTGGGCAACAAGGAGACAGGGCTTTGAGGGGCGCCACCTAGTGGTTATGCCTCCCAAGGGTTTGGAGAAGATCACATTTCAAAGGCTTGGTGTCCCAGGTGCCTGAGAACAGTGGAAAAGTAAGGAAAAGGTTAACCCATCACTAAGGAATGATAGGCCTGTCATGTGACTACCTACCATGACCCCTCAGTTAGGAATGTGTGGTCCCTTTCAGTCACTACTTGTCAGGTCGGCTGAGCGTGTCAGGTCTGCTGCGTAGCCCCTTTTTTGTACACAGCACGGAGCAGTTTCAGAGCCTTGCCTACGCCTCACTGCTCACGGGGCCCATTTATTTGTTGACACACCGTGTTTTCTACTCAGGCACAGGCGTCTTGCTCTGTTGAAGCAAGTCAGCATCCGGGAAAACTGCTGCTCCCTGTGCTGTGATGAGGTGGCAGACACGCAGCTGAAGCCATGTGGGCACAGGTAAGACGGTTTGTTTGAGAAGCGCCTGTCTCGTACATTACGTTACGCAAAGTTTCATCCTGTTCTTGAATTGCTTTTAGAGTGTTTCCAGTTTCATAGCAGTTCATCAAGCTTCTTTTATCTAAAGTGGGCTGAATGAGGAATTATACTTGCCAAGTAGTGCATGGCTGACTTCCAAGAAAGTACCTGAAATAGAAGCTGCTGCTTGACGAGGAAGCTCTTTGGTTTCTCAGCACTGTGTGCCTTGGGCCTTGCAACTGGAGACCTGCCCGTTGGGCTGTTTTCACATCACAAGAAGCTATTTATGAGCTTCTTAGGCAATTCTTAGTCTTAGAGCTTCCACATATATATTTATTATTTATACTCCCAACCACTGAGAAGGAGGCATCGCCCTGCCATCTAACCAAAGTTCAGTTGTATGAGATCAACTCAGAGGGCAGCCCAGACCCTAAAGAACAGGACAGCTAAATATCAAGACCACACAAAAAGGCCATCCCAGCCAGGGTTGGAACAGGGTTGGCGATGGGCAGGCCCTGGCCTGACCCAGGTGTGTGTGCTGACGATGTGTGAGCAGTACTCATGCCGACATTCCAGGCCAGTTCCCTGTAATTCATCACAGCCCAATTGCTCCTGCCTTGCTCCTATTTTGACATAGCTGTAGCCACCAGGTCTCCTAGGGGTCCAGAGCCTGGAGTGATGGATGCCAGTTTGTCACCCTCAGTATGTCTCAGCCTGGGCCCCTGACTGTGCCTCTGCTTATCTGCTGTCCTTTGAAATGGGTTATCATCTGACGACTGCTAAGGGACAGTCATGCAGTGTCCTGCATTCCACCCTCACCTGTGCCAGTGTCACTTTGAAAGGAAGGCACCACAGCGCCAGCCCAGAATTCCTCACTTTGCGCCCCTGCGGAAGTTCTGTTATCAGGGCCTCACAGGCAGATGCAGAGTTTAAGGCTGGGTATCTGGATACCCTTTTTGATCTTTGCTCCATAAGTATGTTAAGATCCCAAAAGGTAGAATCTGGTCTTATTCATCTTTGTGCTCTCTGGCCCTCTCAGTGTTTCTGCACAGAATAAGGCTGAAATCTAAAAACTTAGAACCAGGTTTCTTAAGTGTGAGCGCAGTATCCTTAATAGATAAATCCAAAACTGGTTGGAGGAGGAAATGAAAAGAATTACAAGAAAATCTAGCTCAGGTTTTAGCAGCAACAGTTTAAAAGGATGGAGTGGAGGGTAGCAGTTCAAGAAAAGAAGTCTGAATAAACTGAATAACATGAACAGAACCTGAGAAGAGACTGAAAAATCTTGTATTTCTGTTACCAAAGAAGAATTTGAGATGATGATCGCCCCTGGCTGGTGTGGTTCAGTGGTTTGAGTGCCATCCTGTGAACCAGACGGTCGCCTGTTCAGTTCCCAGTCAGGGCACATGCCTGGGTTGTGGGCCAGGTCCGCAGTGTGGGGTGTGCAAGAGGCAACCACACATTGATATTTCTCTTCCTCTCTTTCTCCTTCCCTTCCCCTCTCTAAACATAAATAAATAAAATCTAAAAAAACCCCAAAAAACATCAAAGCTACCTTTGGCTTTCCCCACAATCACCAAGCCCAGAAGATTTCCCAGGTGAATTCCTCCAACTCTCAGGGAGTAGATAGATCCTATTTAAAGTTCTCCAGACCACAGAGAAAGCAGGAAAACCACCATATTCTTTTTACAAAGCCTCCAGGATGATCATACCAAAAGGTGATAAAGGAAACACAAAAACAGAAAACTTAAATCTAAAAATCTCAAATATTAGCAATAGGACCTAGCAACTCAGTCAAGGGGGGGCTTGTCTCAGGAATGTGAGGTTGGTACAGTATAGAACGTCTATTAGTATGACGCACTTAAATGGGCCAGCAGGAGGAGGCACAGGGAATTAAACACTGTCTCCAAAAATGTTGCAAAGGCACTAAGTAAAATTGAATATCCATTCCAAATGGATGAGATATTTCAGAACCACTTAAAATAGGAATGTGTGGATGCTTCTTTAACAATATAAAGACATATATGTCTCAACCAAATGCTAGCATCTTTTTAATGGTGACATACTGGAAGTCGTCCAGCAAATGTTGGGGACAAGACATGGATGCTTGCAGGCAGTACCATGACTTACATTCTCTAAGTGAAGGCAGTCAAGACAAGACGAAAGCAGGGAGAGGAACGGGAAGGAGGAGCAGAATCATTTGGAGATGATAGATTAAACACTGAAAACCCATTGAATAAACTAGTCAGTAAAAATTAGCATCTCTTTTCTGTATGAACAGCCATCAGTTAGAAGGTGTAATTGAAAATTCCTTTTATAATAGTCCCAAAAAGGCTATCTGTGAATACATACCAGGAAGTACATGGTGCCTATGGGAAAAAAAATTAAATTACCAAGGAACGGAATAGAAGATAAATAAATCTGCTCTTGGATAGGACGACCTCAGTATTGTGAAAGTGAACGTTTTCCCTAATCCCTAAGTTTAATTTGCTCCATATAAAAAGGGCTACATGAGTTCTTTTCTAGAAATAGAAACACTAATTTAAAAATTCATATGATACTAAGGCCAGAAAAGTTTTTTATCTAGTTTTATGGGGTGTTTTTAAAGATTTCATTTATTTTTAGAGAGAGGAAAAGGGAGGGAAAAAGGGAGAGAAACATCAGTGTGAGAGGAACATCGATTGGTTGCCTCTTACACGCACCCCAATCGAGGACCAAACACACAACCCAGGCATGTGCCCTGACCAGGAATGGAACCGGTGACCTTTCGCGTTGCAGGATGACACCCAGCCAACAGCCACACCAGTCAGGGCTGGCCAGAAAATTCTAAAGCAGAAGAGGTATGGAAGAGTGCCACCCTACCTACCACATCTTAAGATATTAAAACAAATGTTTATTGTCCAGTCCTAATCTATGAACAAAATGACAGAACAGCAGAACAGGGTAGAAACCCAGAAACAGAACTAACTACAAGTGAAAATTTTAACACGTGATAAAGATACGGTGTCAAATCTACGATAAAATACGGACTATTTGGCAAATGATATTGGGCTCAATGGCTAGCTGTCTGGGAAAAATAGTGTTGAGTCTCTACATACTTATACACGTCTGCACATATATGCCGTGCACATGGAGACTTCGGGAAGAATGCACACAAGCTTCCTCGGGAGAGGAAGACCAAGGGTCAGAGATGGGAGAGAGACTTATTATTTATATACTTACTTCCTTTTTTAGCCACTGATTCTTACTCGTTCCACTAACAAGCTTATTGACGTTTTAGGTGGCCTGAGTCGGCAGCGGTGGTCCCTTTGACGCGCTCACCTAACTGGTGTTTGTCTTTCTTCTCAGTGACCTGTGCATGAATTGTGCCTTGCAACTGGAGACCTGCCCGTTGTGTCGTAAAGAAATAGTGTCCAGAGTCAGACAGATCTCGCATATTTCATGACACACGTGAAGAGACATTATGGACTTATTTCTACTCAGTTCCAGCCAATGTTGAAAAGAAAAACAAAGGAAAAAAAACCCATCTCTAATCAGTCGTATGCACATTGAAACTTATAGCCATGGCCAGATTTTATGCTAAAAACGGTAGTTTTTCAAAGACAAAATTCTCTTAGAACCTAACCCAACTCGCCAGCCCTGGGAAATCCCTTTCGTGGCCGAGGAAGGCCGAGCGCTCGCGAGCAAGGCCCGGGTCTTCCATGACAACCGGTAGGGGAGCGCGCCCTCTGGAGCGCCGGAGCCACGCAGGAGTTCTCCTGGTTGGGGTCATTGGATCGTTTAACCCAGGATGTTTTGTCTCGTGTCCTAAAGTTTTATTTTGGCAGAAGGTCATTACGGAGGAGCACATGACGCCATTTCTGGGTTAAGCGTGACTTCCCACTGGCCCGAGGTAGCCGTGTGTTAGTGTGGCTCTTGCACTGGAGACTCGAATCTGTAAAGCTAGAATCACGCAGGTCAGTACTGCGGCAACGCGGAGGGCCTCCAAGGAGGTGCACAGACGATAGGAAGAACAAAACAAGCCCGATTTTTGATATTTCAGTGATTCCAAAGAACATCCTCGTTTTTTTTAACCGCAGAACATTGGTGGTGTTTCCACACTCGTGTTTCTGTCCAATTTCAGGACCCACGTTTTGTGAGGGGAAATGTTCTCACATTGCAGGAGGAATTCTTAAACTGACTGCAATGGCTGACTGGAGAAAATTTGGTATTTAGAGTATTTTTAAGGTACCATCAAATCAGGTTTTTGTTTAAAAAAATTTTTTTAATCAGTATTGTTTTTGGAAGTAATATACTTTGAAACTCTTGAACGAATAGTCTCAAAGACTCTTAGAGGACAGTCTGAGAGCACGTATTCCTGTTGTGTTAAATAAATCACATGGTTCTGAATAGTGAATTCAATCATGGGTTGCTGACCATGTCTTCATCAAAAGTGTTCATCCCTCTCAGGGTCTCTGGTGAAGACCTTCAAGAGTTTGGTTTTTTCTCCCAGAAAATTGGAAGGTAGAATTGTAAATTCCTAGAACTTATTTTATAATGGTGTACCTCAGCAGCTGCCTTTCAATTTATGCCAAGTCCTTACTGAGTTTATACTTGAATAGCAAATATGTCTTCTGAGTTTTACAATGTCTTAAACTCAATGCACATTTTTTTTTCTTCTTTCCCCACCCTTTCTTGTTTGTGGTTCTTTAAGATGTCCCATTACAGAGCTGAGTTCCTTCCTGGCTGTACTTGTTGGGGTGCTGGGTTTTTTTCCATGTCTTCGTCTTCCATAAATCAAATATATATATAAATATATGTTTTCTTTAGCTTGTGGTGAATACAGTAATTTGCATTGAAGAAATAAAACATTTGTTGCCTTTTTTTACTAAGATTTCACAACTTTAATTGGTGCCTGCTGCTGAAGTTCCAAGACAGCATACTCTCGGGTTTAGGGGCTACTTTCCAGAGTAGGGGAGAACCAAGCAGTAGGATTAAGAAGCAAGGTTAATTCCTGTTCATTCAGCAACTCCTTATTGAGCATCTAATACGTTCTGGGCATCGTGCCAGTACAGTATTCAAACAGGCCTATTCATGGGGCTAACATCTGGTAGTAGGAAGAGAGCAACATATATTTATTACAATAAATTGTTAGTGCCTTGAAAGAAAAGAGTGTGATGCTATGAGAGAGAATGAGGAGAACTTCGTTTAGATGGGGGAAAGGGTAGAAGAAACCTCACCGAGAAAGTAACATGAGCAAGAAGTAGGACAGGGCCAGCCAGGCGAGACTGAGAACGGGCATCTTGGTCCGGGTGGCTACGTGAGCACGACGCTGTGGGCAGAGGCCCTCCCCCGGGACGCTCCCCGGGCTTCAGGATCTGACGGAAGGCCCTGCAGCTAGTAAGAGAGGAACCGAGTGGGCTGCATTGTGGGCTCCAGTGATGGGGAGATCAGGGGGGTTGCTCATGAAGCCATGTGAAGGTATTTCATCCTAAATGCAATAGAAAGCAAAGAAGTTTAAGCATGCAAGTGCTTTGATAAATACAATAGTTTTAAAGAATGGTTCTGGCTTCAATATGGAGGGTGGGGTGGCGTGCAGGATAAAAGGTGAGCAAAATACGGAAATACACCTGTAGGGAGACTTTGGAGTAATTCATCTGAGAAGTGAAGGTGGTCTGTAAATCCAGCAGAGACAGAGGAAGTAAGTGGAATTAATAGGTAATCTGTCAGTAGGCAAAGGAACGTAGCTTTCCAGGAATCTTCTCTCAAACTTTGTTCACAAGATGGTCTACTTCTCCGATTCTTAACTTCTAGACCAAAGGGAAAGATATTTGACATAGAACCAACTAGCAAGCTGTGTGAGAGAGAGGAAACAATAGCTCTGTACCTGCGCAGCCTGTAAGCATTTTAACAGAAATTGAAAGCTAGGCTCTTACTGATGACATACTGCACCAGAGAGAACAAAAATGTAGTTTATATATTATGTGTTCCAGAAATACCCTCAGGATTCCAGCAAAAAAAAAAAAAAAGTTTTTAATGAATTGCCACCTTTTTTGAATGAGATTGATAAAGCAAGGTGAAGTCACAGAGCCATTTGCAGAATGCCAGGAAACAATGATTCAATCACAGAAATAATTTCACTAGCAGAAGATTTATGCAAATGACTAATTTGCATAAATTATGTCCATCTTGAATACACATCCATGAAAACACTATACCACTAAGATCAGCTCTTTCACAGATTGTCCATTTTTTGCTATCCACTTAAAACAAGTAGTAACTACCCCACAAAGGATTTAAGAAATAATTCATGGGAAACATTTAATACAGTACATTTATTTTTCTACAGAAAGGACACCATTCTGGAGTTTGGTTTTCTGGCTCTTTTTTCAGAAGGGTATCGTTCTGGTTTCCGCTGTGGTCTAACTCAGAGATTGGAGTTTGGCGTGATGAGTAAAACAGGAGTGAGCCTGGATCCATGTTTCAGGCCCATGATTTTCCTTGTTGCAAGTTTGCAAGGACTTCTGAGCCTTGGTTCCCTAATCTGTGAAATGGAAATGACGGTACTTCATTGCAGTTTTTCTCATAGGGTTGCAAGTATTTCAGAAGGAGACAACATATTTATAAATGTTTGGCGCCAGTAGTTGGCACATGCCTGAGTATACTAGTGGGTACCTATGATTATCTTTATCCCAATAGTTTTTGTTTTGTTGTTTTAGATTTATTTTTAGAGAGGGGGAGGAAGGGAGAAAGCGGAAGAGAAACATTCATGTGTGAGAGAAAACATCCATAAGCTGTCTCTCGAACACCCCCAACTGGGGACCCAGCCTATAACCCAGGCATATGCCCTGACTGGGAATTGAACTGGAGACCCTTAGGTTCACAGGCTGGCACTCAGTCCTCTGAGCCACACCAGCCAGGGCATATCCCCATTTGTTGTTATAGTTTGTTCTAATAGCCAGAGGTGGTGAAGTGGACTAAAGTTGGTCACAAGTTCTTTGACATTCCTTCCATCTATAAGTGAGGTTTATGTCCCCTCCCCTTAAATCTAGGTGGACTCTGTGGCTGCTTGATCAATATGATTCAGTGGATGGGATTCTATGCCAAGTGTCTAGTCCCAGACCCTTAAATGACTGGCAGCTTCCACTTCCTGTCTCTTGAGGTAATTGCTCTTGGAACCAGCCACCACGGAATGAGGAAAAGCGAGCATCCCTGGGAAGGCCTATTGCACACGTAGAGGAACTGAAACCCCTCCACCCCAGCCCTCTAACAAACATCCACACTGAGCTCCCAGCCAACAGCCAACACTAATGTTCCAGCCATGTGAATGAGCTTCTGGGGAAGAGACTCCTCTAGCCCCATTCCACTGCCCCAACTGATGCGGAATAGAATAGACACAACCTAGCTCTCCCTGCAAGTCCTGCCAAACTACAGATTGGCGAGCGAAATCATTATTTTAAGCCACCAAGCTTTTCGGGTGGCTTGCAACAGCCATAGGTAATCAGAATAGATGAAGTCATCATTTCTCCCTCCACTCGGACCCCATACATGATTTAGCAGTAGAAAGGGTGGGCAAGTTCATTTAGTCCAAAAGAAAAGAGTGGTTTATACAGAAAGTAGGTCATGAGGAAATTTGCCAAGTTTGCTTTGAACTGTGTGGCCAGTGCTGGACTTGAACAGAACTCAGTCCAGTTATTCCGCAAACCTTTTTTAGATGCCTGTCTCCTACTGGGTGTTAAGCAGAGCTAGTACCTCTGAAAATTGATCCTATCCTAGATACAATTGTGTCTTGATAACAATTGCCATATCTTAAATCCCTGTACCATGTGCCACACTTGGCCAAAAGGTGATACAATGCAGATGGAAGGGACTCAATGCCCAGTGGTCTGAACAAGAGAAATAAGCTCTCAGGAATCGTTTTGGCAAATTTGGGCATTTTCTCTGATTGCATTGTTCAAAGGGAGTCTGTCAACTTTCATCTCGCCCAATTAGCAAAGAAACCGGTTGCTATCAAAGAGTCTTTTTAAAAATATATATTTTATTTTAGAGAGGGAAAGGGACAGAAAGAGAGGGAAACATCATTGCGTGGTTGCCTCTCGTGTGCCTCCCACGGAGGACCTGGCCCGCAACCCAGACATGTGCCCCGACTGCGAATGAAACTGGCCACCGTTTGGTTCACAGGCCAGCATTCAATCCACTGAACCATAGCAGCAAGGGTCGAATAGTCTTTATGATGTGAATATTTATGATGTTCCAGATATCCACTTTCTGTGAGGCTGTCCTTCCACGACAGGGAGTAACTGCCTTGCAAATCTGACGTCGGCAATTATTTGTTTCAAAATCTCTCCAGAGATTTGCAGTTTACAGTGCTCTTAAAAACCGTTTTAAACTAGCTAATCTTGTAATTTGCAAATGAGGAAATTCAGGGACTTGGCTTGGATTCCTTCTACAAAACGGGGGTGATGTGAGATTTAATCGCCGCACAGCACGAAAACACGCCAACCAGCCCGTGGTGCTCGCTGAGAACCACCGCCTTTCCCTCCGAGACTCCATCCTTTTCCATCACTTCCGCTCCCTACCTTTTCCCCGCCCCTAACATCAGGCAACACGTCTGTGATTGGTTGTCGGGAGCCTGAGGCAGCAGGACAGGTTTGCGGTTACCGTGGTGACGGGAGGCGGGCGCGGTGCCTAGTGTTCAGTAACCGCCGCTTGGGCCTCACGGCAGCTGCAGTAGCTCAGACACAGGCCTGGCGGGGTAGAAATGACGGGCCGGCGCGTGGCTAGGCCGTGACCGGGCTGTGGCCTCGGCGTCAAGGCCTCCCAGATGCCGGTTGGGGCTCTGCGGAGCAGAAGCGAGGTTGGACCTGGGCTGCGGGCCCGTTAAGAGGCCGACGGGCCGGCTCGCCAGTGCGGGGTGGATGCAGCGGCGGCGGCGATGGACGCCCTAGAGGAAGAGAGCTTCGCACTGTCTTCGTAAGTGACACCTCCCGGTCTGGGGCAACTTGGCGCCTGGCCTTGGCCTCCGCCCTTTGAAACGGGTGCCCTGGCGAAGTGGGGGGCTGTCGAGGCCCCGCCCCAATTCCCGGTATCAATTCTGTCACTGTGGCACCCGCCGGCTTCAGGCCCAGGAGGACAGGAGTTCGAGGCGGGTGTCATGCAATGATCGACGCCTCCATCACAGCCCGCGCCCCACCCCCCACTCCCTCCTCCAATCTTTCGTCGTCAGCAAAAGTGGCGGCTTTGAGCTGCCCAGGCCCCAACACGGGTCAGAGAATCCTCCACCACCAGGGACTCCTGGTCTAATAACCCCCAACCCTGGCCAGGATCTCACCCGCTCCGGGTTCACGCTCGCACGGATAGTGTGGGTTCCTAGCAAAAATGCGGTGGTAAATGGCGGAGGGGCTTTAAGATGTTCTACACGACCCTTTCCCCCCTTTATTTCAAATTTTCTTAAAAATGGAGCCATTCTGTGCATCTTTGATGTCACAATGTGTGTGTGTTTTTCTGTCTGGAATTACTAGATTAGACAATAATCGTTTTAACTGTTGTCTGATCAAACAACAGTGAAGCTGAGTGAAGCTTATTATGGGGGGTTCCCCCCACACACACATATAAAAATGTCCAAATAAATTTTTTAAAAAACTATGTGAAACAGCAGCTAATCCAGGTATTATTTTTCAGCTCTTCCGCCTCTGACGCAGAGTTCGATGCTGTGGTCGGATATTTAGAGAACATTATCATGGGTAAGCTTCCTCACCAGTGTGGCCCGTGCGCTTCAGTTCTTTTAAGGACCCTTGCTTTTAAGGACACTGACATCAGTTTGGAGAGTTAATTATTTTTTTTTAATTTTATTTATTTTACAGAGGGGGGAAGGGAGAGGAACGTCTATATGAGGGAGAAACATTGATCTGAGGCCTCACACACGCCCCCTACAGGGAACCTGGACTGCTCCCCAGGCATGTGCCCTGAGGGGGATCCACCCAGAATGACCCTGGGACCTTTCGACCTTTTGCTTTCTGGGAGGGTGCCCAACCCACTGAGCCACACTGGTCAGGGCAGAGTTAATTTTTAAAAGAGAAAACATAAAGCTGTGTATAATTTTTAGTGTAGCACAATGTAATAGTAAGCCTTACTACAAGCGGCCCAGTATTCCTTAAAACAACTAATGTCCACAGATCCAGGAGTCAGGACTTAATGGTAAATTCAGCACCCAGAAGTTACGGGGCTCTTGGCAAAACTTCAGGAATGATTGCCCTCCTTTATTTCAGAGCCTGTGAGCAGTCTAGTTTTAACATTTTATGACATAAACGACAGGATCATACCATAGTCATGGCGCCCATGTCCACAAGGAAACCAAGGTGTCATACTTTAGCTGGTTCTGCGCTTCCTGTTCGTGGGTTTGTTCGGCATCCGTAAGTTCTAAGTCGTAAGCAGTAAGTGGCACCAAAGGCTTAAGACAACTATGCGAGAGAGAAAAACTTACAGTCTGAGAAAATCTTGTCTATTGACTTCAAGTTTTCTGAGAATCAGGAAGAGAACACTTCCTTGGTGTTACTAGCAGTATTTCTTCATCTAGTTTAGTCTGAAAATCACAGCCCATTTTTGTATGTTTGGGTGTAGGAGAGGTCCGTGCCCTTAACCCTGTAAATACCGACGTTTCACCATTCACGTTTCACCCTTAAGCTCTCATTCCCCGTGGGTCTGGGGATTTGGGGGAGACTGAGGAGTTCTGCCATTTAGGGGTACCCTGTATGCTCTGGGAAAATGAGCCTTCTGTAAGCCCAGCATATTTACCCCAAAGACTGTTCAGCTGTTAAAATTCCGTTTTCTGACATTTAAGTGTTTGCTATGAACTAATCTCTTTGCATGAATTCTCTTGTAAACGCCACCTAGCCATCCTGTATAATAGGAACTATGATCGTCCGGGTTTTCCAGGTGAAGAAACTGGAAACTAAGTAACGTGCCCAAGGTCACACAGTGCAAAGCGGCTGAGGTGGCGTTTGAACCCAGGCAGTCGAGCCTCTCTCCGAGCCCATGCATTTACTCACTGAACTGTTTTCACTGCTGCTGCCGGATTTATGTTAGGATTAGAGAACCATTTCGTTCCTTTGTGGACGAGTGATGTGAGGGGGGTAATGGCCGCGAGGCAGTGTGAGGGTACTCAGTGCCACCAACCTGGGCGCTTACAATTAGAGAAGTCTTATGTTGTGTGTATTTCATTACAATTTTTTAAAACAATAATAAAAAGACTGTATCGCTGTGTTAAAACACTGGGGTCCCATTTAACGCTTCCTTGAAACACCTTGAGCTTTCTCTCTCCCCGACACTGACCACTAAGAAACCAGTTCTGACTTACGACTCCCAACTACGTATGAATCAGTATGGTTTTCAGTCTGCATCACGAAGAACCACTCTTTTCATTGTGGCTCAGATGACGAGTTCCAGTTACTGCAGAGAAACTTCATGGAGAAGCACTACCAGGAGTTCGAAGACACAGAAGAGAATAAACTCACCTACACACCGATTTTTAACGAATATGTAAGTGGATTTCTACTTCTCTTACCAGAGGGTAGGGTTTCGTTAAAATGTGAATTTACGATGAAAAGGTGCTGAAATTTGCCCTGACAGGTGTGGATCGGTTGCTTGGCATTGTCCCTCAAACCAAAGTGATGCCGGTTCGTATCCTGGGCAGGGCACACGCCTGGGTCGCAGGTCTGGTTCCCAGTGGGGTGTGTAGGAGAAGCGCCCAATCAGTGTTTCTCTCTTTCTCCCTCCCTTCCCTTCTCTCTAAAAAATAAATAAAATCTTTTTTAAAGAAAGATGCTGAAATTTGCTTAACCTAACATCTGCCACCAGTACTCTGCCCGGAATTCTAATTAGAATCTGGTCTGGCCCTCATCTCCTGTTGCCTTGCTCTGCACAGCTTTTGGGGCTGTTTTTCAAACGTTCGATTTTATCAACTTCTGTTTTAAAAGGCTTCATCACAATCCTGCTTTCAGTACTATACGTGGGGTCACCACACCTCGCACTTACATGCTTTTGACCTTTTCACTTCACACACTGTGTTTCTCCTTCTAATCCAGTCAGGCGGGTATGACTTAGGTAAGAGTCAAGACCAAGACCAAGGTCACTAGTTGGTGGCAAAACTGAAACTAGAGTCCAGGGACTTCGATTCTCGACCCCTGGGCCTTTCCACTCTGCTGAGGTCTGGGGCCGCCTCCCCGAGTGACCGCACCTGTCCGAGAACGGCCGTGGGCCCGCAGGACTCTCTCTTCTTACACAGAAGCTTGGCACAGTCATGCAGGCTTCTCAGGCCAAGCCCCAGCTCACAAGGGCCCTGTGATAGCCTCTAGCCACAGGCTTCTGTGTGTGCGCTTTCTGCACGAATTCCATCTGCCCAGGATGAAAGGCCCCTTCACTTCACTCCTGACTTCCTGCCACGGGGTGGGAGCCCCGCTGCTGTCCCCACCGACCAGAGAGCCTCCGTGTTGTTACGGTGTAACAGCCCACCAGTGCCTCTCCCTCGGTGGGCCTGGCGAGTCCTCTTCCAGGACAGCAGCCATGGTTTGGTTCTCTTTGGCATCCCCTGCACTCAACCCATAGCTTGGCGCATAGAACAGGCTCTTAGTTCAGGCTTTCGGGAAAGAAGTCAGGCGGTCCGACAGAGGCCCTTTGTTGGTACAGATCTCCTTGGTAGAGAAGTACATCGAAGAGCAGCTGCTGGAGCGGATTCCGGGGTTCAGCATGGCGGCCTTCACGACAACTCTGCAGTGAGTGGGGCCCCACTCCGAGTTCCGCCAATCTCCACCTTCCTCCCCCTCCCCCGTCTGAAAAAAGACCCCCTCTGGTTTTCGGTGTTTGAACATCCAGGCACAGTGCACTCAGCAGATGGGTCCCAGGTGGGAGGGCCCCCGGAACCTTTGAGCGAATCTCAAGGAGACAGTCTGTCCCACCATTCACACGCGGACCAGCTCTCCTGTCCTTTGCAGGCACCATAAAGATGAAGTGGCCGGTGACATATTCGACATGCTGCTCACGTTTACCGACTTTCTGGCCTTTAAGGAAATGTTTCTGGACTACAAAGCAGTAAGTCACTTTTCTTTCCTGTTTTTTGTTTTGTTTTTACTGAGTCACTCTCGCCTGTTGAGTTAGTCGCACCAAGCCACTCGGAAAGGTCCGAACAGAACCGTTGAACACACCACCGCCGCCACACTCCTCCCCAGAAGCCTGGCCAGCAGCAGCCAGTGGGTGTCGGGACAGTGAGCTGCTGACCTCTGGCAGGGGCCTGGGACCCTCACTGGGGAATTGCATTCTCACATTTAGGTGACTCAGGTCCCAGGGACCTCTCAGGGCCCCTACATAGTCAAAAGGACAAAACTAAAAGGTACGCCTAATTGAGCCTTGCCTTTCTTTTTTTTTTTTTTTTTTTTTTTAATATTTATTTATTTGTTTATCTTTAGAGGGGAAGGAGAGGGGGAGAGAAGTTTTCTTTAGTGCATCCTGTGGGAGGGAGGGGGGGATGCTGCGACTCTGGTGCGGAGCCTTGCCTTTCTTAAACTGCAGGCTCTTAAATAGGAAAAATAAATGTTTCTCGGTGAAGAGAGGTGCATTTTTTTAAGACTGACCAGGGCCTGTGCAAATAAGCACCTCCCACCCTGAACGCCTCCTCCCCCAGGCCAGGGTTCTGAGCGAGACAGGACGGTTTTCTATGTGTTGCCTCTTGAAGTTGTTTCTTTCCCCGTGTAGGAAAAAGAAGGCCGGGCACTGGACCTAAGCAGCGGATTAGTGGTGACTTCACTGTGCAAACCGTCCTGCCTGCCAGCTTCCCAGAACAGCCTGCGCCACTAGTCCCACCACTGGCGGTGAGATCGTCCTGGGCCTCGGCAGCCCAGTGGCTTCGGCTAAAGATGGAAGAATAGATCTTCGAGGGACCAGCTCTGTTCTGCAACTCTTCATTAATGTGACAAGTATTGATGAGTAAAAAAAAAAAAAATTACGTGACCCTCCCAGAACCCATTCCTTCAGAAAAACCTGTGCCCAGTAACCCTGGTATCCTTCTTAGGTGGACCTCTCGCTCAAGGGCCACAGCCGGGCCCTGCCGCGGGCCGCACCCAGCACCCCAGCGGGGGTCTTCCCCAGCCGGTGGTGGTGTGTCAGCGCGCAGGTCTCAGGCCTTTGCCTCCGTGGGGCTGTTACCGTGTGTAGCTTCCACCTCGGGCTCGACTCGGGCCAGCTGTCTGTCGTGGAGTCCCTGAACCTCTATTGTCACGGCGAGTCTTGGCCATAGGAATGAACTGAGAGTGTCCTTTATGTCCTTTACCTGAGAGCTACATGTTCAAGTCCATTTCTGGTCTTCTGTTTGCAGTCCCTGTATCACCGTGTCTTCTGCTGGTCCTGATATAGTCCCTGTTTCTAGAACTCTCTCCTAAGCATTTTTGAAAAATATTTTTATAGATAAATACTCAGGCTAACCTAGTGGCTATAATCTTGGAACTTCCACGATTACCCACTTCAAGATCAAAGTATTATATGCGTGTGCTCTTTAGTTGTTAGTCATTAGCGCAGGGAGAGGGCAAGTGCTCTCTGCGCCAGCGGCCCCGGCTCTCCGGGCCCCAGTGAGCGTGCGCTCCTGCTGGAAGTGGACCGAAGGCGTCCTCCTCTCCTTCCCCAGAGTGTGCTGCGTGCTGCGTGCTTGAGCAGGTTAGCTTTATCTTCTTCTGTGTAAAGCACTGTGTTAGCCTTTCTGTTGGAGTAGTGTCTGCAGTTGCTTCTTCCGGTCAAAAATCTTCCTCCCAAGGCAGGAGGAGGGCGCACAGACAGCTTCCCAGCCCACCTGTCTGCTTCGGCTCGGTGCGGCAGCTTAGGCAGTGCTGCCAGACGGAACCGTGACACACGCTGCCACGTCTTGAGGAAGAGATAACGGCTCAGTTCCCGGTGTGCACCTTAGATTTTTTCTTTTAAGTAAAAATAACCTGTACTGACTTTCCACCTGGCTGTTCCGACTTTAAACAATGAGCTATGTACAGACTCTGATTTTGTACTGATGTGGCGCTTACTGAATACATCTGCACTGTGAGTAAAATTCAAGGTGTTTTGCAAGAACCATGATTCTAAACGAGCCGTTTCTTTTCTTCGCTGTAGCTGCTGCCGTGCCATTGGCCTTGCTTTGGTCCCTCGAGCCAAAGGCACCCAGAGCCAGCTCTCTAAATGCTTCCTCACCTGGGCTTGCCTTCCCCTCACCTTTTCATCGGCGGGCCTGCCCACGCGGGGGGGGCACGCTGGGGGCACCTGCCTGTCAGTTCCCCTGGTTGAGAAAAGGCAGGTGGACAAGTCTAGAGATGAAATGATGAGAAAAGAATGAGAAGAAAACAAATGGTTCTTTACACCATTTCTCACTCAGAGAGAGAAGCAAGCTTGTTGTAGTTCAGTGTTAGAAGACAGGCTTCCTGACTTCTTTTAAACAAGCGAGAATTCTCTGTCCCAATAGCATCCTGGGTCACGTGCCACCTGGGCTCCGGTCGGCCTGGGCAGGAGGAGCCTGGCATTCCACCCCAGCCCCAGGAGACAGCCGCATTCCCATTCCCTTCTCACTGCGGGAGACTATCCACCCAGACCGAGGGGTGGAAGGGCCAGGGGGGCGTCGCCCCAAACCAAAGGGTGTTGCCTGACTAAGCGTGTTTACACTTCCCCTGAGACAGGCCATGTGTTAGGGTGTCTGCAATCTGTAAGACTTGCCTGGAATTTGTTCTCTCTTAAGCCTCAAAAGCAGCTGATCTCTGATGGCTTAATCCTGGCACGACTGATTCATCATCCTGAGACATTCGAGGGTCAAAGGGAATGCCGTTCATGGTTCATGTGTACACTGGGACCACAGATGTGAACTGGGACGTGCGCAGCTGGCTCAGTGCCCCTCCCTTCGTGAAGGAGTTGCTCATCCATAGTGGTTTGAATCTAGTTACATAAAAGGACCAGGGGGTACCCAGAAATGCCTCCAGCTCATTATTCAGAGCATGTTGCTCTGTGGTAGCAGAAAAACAAGCTCGGGCCCCTTTTCTCCATGCTGGCTATCCCTCAGTCAAGCAGGACCACTCGTCTCTGAACATCACAAATGTAGAAGGTGACATGACAGCAGTGTGAATTCAACATGATGACCAGACTTGCCTAAAGCTGAGATGACTAAGTGATTCACTGTTAAACTGAGATCCTCTGAGAATAAAGGTGACGCTATCAAACTTACGCCAGGGCAAGCGGCATAAGCCGGACCTGGTGTGAGGAAGCAGGCAGGATGCTGGTCGGCCTACCTCAGGCCACAGGAGTGGCTGGGGTGCCGAGTGACTCCAGGACTGGTGCTGCCCCATCCTGGACATTTGGAACCTCCGTATTCTCTTCCCCTGCAGCTTCTTGAAGTTGATAAGCATCTACAACCATGATTCCACAGCACCTTCTCAAATAAGTTCTTCCATCTTTATTTTTGTAAAAAAACATAACAAAACACAAAAACTGAAAACAGTGGTCACCGAGAGCACGTGACAGCTCACCGAGCAAGTTCCTGACACCCTCCTTCATGTCCCACGTGCCTAATCAACGGTGCCAGGGACACAGTCGGCACTGACGCTAGCTTTTCCCCAAGGCACATTGCACAAAGGCCTTTGAGACGGGTTTTCATCATTGAGAAGTTGCTTAAAACCAATTTGTTTTTAATAAATGGTGTGTCTGAGACACAGGAAAGGAGACCGTGCTGTCAGGAACATCTGCCTACAAGCGACATGTTGGTCTGGGGGAGGGTGGGTCGGGATCGTGCTTTCGGGAATCAGAATGGTCTCGCGAGCTTGCTCGGTGCTGCCCGGACAACAGCCATGATGAAGACGCACACATGTGGCTCGTTAGGCTTATTCTACGGTGGGTCAGGGGCAGCAGGTCTTAGTCCTCGTTAGTGTATTTAGTGCTGGTGGTGAAGCTGGGCCCTGCCTTGGATGCCGAGGTCCTCTAAAGACAAAGCAGGGGCAGTGAGCCCCGTATCCCCCGTCACCTTCTGCTGAATAAGGGGGATGAGGAGGCGGCGGTGGAGGAGGTCTCAGCCGTTGGCCTGTTTCCAACCCACGCGCACGCCAACTCGGGCCAAGCCGGAGGGAGGATCCTGATTCCTTAGGCGTGTCGGCTGAGCCCAAGTGTGATGGTCAGCGAGGAGCAAGTGCAGTCCCTTCTGGGCCGAGCCGTACGGTGACCTGGCCACAGCCTTCAGCCCCAGGCTGGGCATTGGCCCAGGTGGCTCAGGCATAGCCACCAGCCATCTGACTGGTGGCTGCGTTGCTGCCTCCTCCTCGCCAGGCCTGGAAGCTGAAGAAAGCGCTCACTCCATAGGCGATCATCACTAAACACGCAAAGAACTGCAAGAGGAGAGAAGACACCAAAGCTGAGCCGTCTGCGGCGTGGCGCGGGGAGAGGGGCGGTGACGGTGACAGTGACGGGACGGACAGCCTGGGACCAGCAGAGTAAAACCCTAGGCCCCTCAGGGAGCTGGGGCCAGCGGCTCTGGCAGCCACGCCAACCCCTCCTTAGCCTGCACCCATTGCTGACGTGACACTCTACTGGGGGACCATCGACCACCAGGCCAGGTGCGTGGTGAGGGCAGCCGGATGGCGTGCTGGCCGGAGTGGCTGAGAGGCAGCAGCCACACGAGCTTCACCTGGGAGTTTGTTTGAAAAAGGCAACATTCCAGGGCTAGCCCAGGAAATTTCTGGAATCTTCATACATGGCGTTCAGAAGCCCCGAGTCTCGGTCTCAGTGTCCAAGTTCACTGATTTCAGAACCATCCTCACCGGGAAGACTGCGGAAACCCCAGTCCTGGTCTGGACCCTGCCCTACCCCGGACCTGGCTGAAGCGCGTTGCCTGTCTAGGCCTCAGTTCCCCTGCCTGTCAGCAGGGCCTGGTGGTCCCTGTCCTGCGAGGCAGGGCCTGGTGGAGGGGGTTGCCTGAGGCTTCCCGGGACAGCCTACGAGCCCCCAGAAGGTCTTCACCAACAGGTTCTAGCACGTGCCCTTTTCAAGGTACAGACGGGGGCGACCGTCTGTGACGGTTTCTCGGAGGAGGCGTATGACCCTACATCAGTGCGCCACGACTGATTCACAGCCAAGTTCGACAGCTGACCTGAAACTTCCCTTCACCACAGATACGTCCCAAGCACTGCGGTTCTTCAGGGTCTTACTGTTAATTGGGGAAGACGGAAAATGAGCTTGGCTCCTGTGGGACCTGCTGAGAGTGAGGAGGACTCTCGGGAGGTGGCGGGTGCCTGGCCTCAAACCAGGGAGCAGCGGGGGTCAAGGGGTGGGGCCCTAGCTTCGGGAAGCCCACTGGCCCTGCCGGAGAACCGTACTCACGGAGGCAGCCGCACGCTGGTTATACGGCCGGGTGCCCTTCAGGGATGTCTGTTCGACCGAAGCGGAGCAGGCGATGAAGGCCGTGATGTAGAGAACAGTGGCACCCACGTTAAATATCATCAGCTAGTGGTTGGGAGAAGGGAGAACTGGCTTAGGACATGAGACTCCCAGTAACTGGGACCTCCCGGTTCCCACTGGCACATGCCTTAAGTAGCCAGGACAGGCTGGCACTTGAGGATGGGGCTGGAAACACGAGGGCCTCGTACATGCTCTGCTCCGAGGCCCTCTGAGCAGGGGCTCAGGCTGATGGGAGGGGAAATGATGGGAAGGCCCGCAGGGAGATGGTCAGGGGCTGTGACACTCGTACCAGGTAGAGCCCATTCCCGTGGCGAGAGGCCCACCCAGCCCAGCTCTGAGTGCACCAGCTAAAGCACAGAAAGCCACTCCTCCCTGTCCACTCAAGGCCAAGCTCAGGCCCCCTTCCCGTTGCCACTGCTAGGGGCAGGGGTGGGGGTGGCCTCACCTTCTGCTCTGCCCCCAGTGGGAGGAACCTGTTGGCCCTTTGGGCCACCCTAGGCTCAAGGCTCCACACCCAAGACCAGGGTCAGAGCCCAGCAGGGTGCCGAGCCAGACTGGCAGGGAGGACCTCAGGGAGCAGACAGCCAGGCCTGGTGCCGTTTCTCCAACACTGGGCCCCTGGAGCCAGTCAGTGGTCTTACCGGGGACTGCACACTGGCGACCCTCAGCATGCTTGGCTCCGGCCACAGACTAGTTTTTAAATTGCCAACAATGTAAGATTAGATTACCCATGAAAACCTGGAGATCTCGTTAAGATCTTTCCACCATAAAACATCAGGAGACTCGGTACCAGGGGGTTGTTTTCCCATTACCAGCAGCTGGAGACGAGCAGAGGCGGCTCCCTGCAGGCTGACAGGGTCTGGGCTTTCCAGACCCGCTTGCTGACCCACTTCACGTTTCTTGCCTGCCCTGGAGAGGGCTTGTAGCCCCCATCCCAGAAAAATCCCACTGGGCGTCCCAATCCAGCCTTCTGTGGATACACAGGCAAAGCCCTCCCACCCTCTGCTAGAAGGTCCAGGACACGCAGCCCTGCCGTCAGCAGCTGGGGCCAGAGACGCCCAGGCCCCTCCACCCCCAGAGGCACAGGGCGGGGGCTGGACCCCAGCCTCAAAGTCAGCCCGCCCCTGCTGGCCCCGGGATCTTCCCTCCAAGCCCAGCAGCCACTGCCAACGCCACCTGGCTCCTGCCAGTGGTGTCAAGACCTAACAAACCCGTTCTGTCCCGAGGATGACTCACGTTTCCTCGGTTTAAAAAGTCATTGAATTCCAAACAATGCTGCCCAGTCCCAGCCCCGCTTCTCTTACAGTCATGTGCCTCTCTCTGCTCACTGAGGGCCTCACACCCCAGCTACAGGGCTTTCCGGGTCAGAGGAAAGACCACAGCACTTTCTGCGTGGGGCTCAGGTACTTCCTGTGGATGCTTTCGGTCCTGAGGAGCCTGATCTGGGCAAACCTGGGACGCCCCCCTCTCCAAGCTGCAGGGGCTTCACCCTGGAGGCGGCGGGTGGGCAGCCCTGCTGCACCGACCTTGTCCTGCACCCACCAGGCCCAGCCAGGGTATTCCTGCCCGGCCGGCCCAGCCTCCAGAGACCTTCCACAATACAGGTTCCAACTCCAGCTGCCCTCAAAACAAAAAATATTTTCAAAACCCCGAATGGCTTCCGATGTCTTCCTCCAACCGCCCCTCACTTCCTTTCTCTTCCCCGGACAAAGTCCGGCCCGTGTCCTCCCTGGCTCACGCTCCTGGTGCTCAGAAAACCCGGACACCCAGCCACTTCTCATTTTGGGAGAGTCGACATGGTCACAGGTACCCCCGCCCCGAGGCAGAGCGCTCAGCCTGGAACCGCCCCAGCGCCCCCACCCAGACTCACCACCAGCGGCCAGGGCACCCTGTACAACTTCATGTGCAGCTGAAACAGGTAGAGGACGAAGAAGACGATTGTCACCAGCCAGAGGAAGACAGCGACGAACATCACCCAGCCGTAGGCCGGGTACAGGTGGTGCGGGGTGTCGGCAATCAGGGCCCACACCAGCAGCCCCAGCACCTGGAGCGAAGAGACAGGGGGGCGTCAGCCAGAGCCCCCCAGCACTCGGGCCACAGGCCACAGAGCGGGGCCCCCCGGCCCCGTGTCCACGGGCTCCCGTTTAGTGGAGAAGTGTCCTGCGGCTCCTCCGGAACAGCACCGCGTACCAAGCCCTTGCCTGGTAGCTCCTGTTCTGGGTCTCGGCTGAGATGTGGCGTGTTCCAGGTCCCCCACTCCTCCGACCTGGATTCCAGAACCCTCTCCGGTGCTTTCGAGGCTCCCCCGGCACCCACCCCTTGGACTGAGGTCTCCTTTCCCAGACTGGGAGCTCCCCCAGGGCACGACTGCCTCACTCATGGCTGCCTCCAGGCGCCCAGTCCAGGACGTGGGCACTGCCAAGGGCTTTCCTAAAAGCTGTTGGAAGAACGATGAGGTCACCAGCACACCTGAGGGGCAGACAGACTCCCAGAGGCGGGAAAGCAAACAACCTATCTGTGTCCTCTGGGTAAGAGACACCTGGAGCGCCTCCCAACCCTGTCCATCCACCTGCTCTGACTCTCCTCATTGCCCCTCTACACAGGTGTCACCAATCTCACCTTGCAGGTGAAACCGGACCTCAGAGAAGCCAAGCTCTCTGACCCTGTTCCCACGTGACGGCGTGGGCCCTGACAGCCTGGCAGGCGAATGTGTAGCTACAAACAGCGTGGACTCCAGAGGCACCTGCCTGGTTTAAAATGCACCCCCGTCACCAGGCAAGTGACCCTGGTCAGATGTGCCCGTTGCCTGTACGTCCATCGCCTCGTCTGTCCCTCGAGTGTGGTGCCCCAGCCTGTGTCACAGGGCTGCGCTCAGGACCAGGAGCTGCTCATGGAGTCGAGTGAGTGTGACGGAGCGTTTGCTTCTATTATTCCCAGCGGATCCGCGGTGCCCGCCCCAGCCCTCCAGGCCACAGCGGGTTCTGCACAGCCCTCGTGGGGCCCCCCGGGTGGGCCCAGCACAGGGCCAGCTCTGAGGCAGGGAGCTCAGGGGAGGCCCCCGCAGGGCTCCACTCATGTGGGGGCCCTGGCATCCCCCGGCCCCCCTCCTCCACAGGGACATTCTCTGGGAGCCCTGGCCAGCAAGGCATGACTCGTCAGGGCCGGCCACTGAGGGGAGGGAGGGTCTGCCATGGGGCTTTGGCAAAAGGCTCCACGGTGGATGAAAACTCACAGGAAGAGCACTGTCCAGGCACATGGACAGTGACCCTGTCACCGCCCAAGATAAGCCAGCTATCAGATCACAGAAAAGCCACTCAGGAGCGAGACCTGCCTCTGGCTGCTGGTTTTGGGGCACAAAACGTCCCCCTGGCCACTCACGCCCGTTGATGGGCTGTGGCAAGCTCCTGGACACACATGAGAGAGCTGGTACGCACCCAAGGGCCATGACCCAGGGGACAGTCTGAGCTGGGCACCTGCCAGACACCCCACCTAAAGCAACCCGCCCAGACCCAGAGGGATCTTCTGTAGGGAACCCTCTGTGGCCCGTGGGGTCAGGCCAAGAAAGACCTGAGCCAAGTGGCCCAGAAGTCCAGCAGCCCCTCTGGCCGCCGCCTTTCTTTCTCCTCTTCCTGCCCCTCCCCTGCAAGAGGCTGGGGAAGGCGCGGCTTCTCTTCCTGCACCACTTGGGAAGGGGGCACGGAGCCCTGGGCATCGACAGCTGGGTTTCAGTCCTGCCTGAGTGGTGTGACCCAGGGTATGCGCCGTCCCCTCTCTGTGGCCTCCCTGGACAGCTCTACCGAGGTCCGCCCAGTAGAATGCAGGCCCCGTGAGGAATCCGGGCTTATTCATTGCTCTGTCTCCAGTGCCCAGCATGTAGTACCTGCTCAATAAATGCGTGCCCCGGAGCGAGTGGGCCTCAGTCTCCCTCATCTGTAATGGAGTGGAAGCCCACCCTGTGTGGGTGCTGTGTGCTGGGAGAGGAAGTGGGTGTGCACTGGTGAATCTGCCCATCTGACCAGCACGGACAGGCTGGCGGTGGCCTGGGTGGGGGGCCCAGGGAGCAGAGCCTTGCCAGCTGTCACAAAAGCTGGGGACAGAGCTCTTATCAATGAAGACCAAGGGCCCCTCCCACTCCTTTGCCCCCACCCTTAGGATGCCCTGGCTGAAACAGACTCACGAAGCAACATCGTGAGAGTGTTGCTTCCACTCTCACAGAAGCCTGGCCCGTTAACTCTCCGGGCTCACACTTTGCTGCTGCCACCTGGTCCTGGACCCTCCCGGGTGACAACTGGGCATGGAGGGCAGGGACAAACGGTTCTCTTCTCCCTGAAAGCGGGCTCCTTCAGGGACCATGCCATGGGGTTGCCGGGCTCCAGCGATCTGAAAGGAAGCCAGACAACGCCGTGAACTGAAAACTAAGAGACCAACTCAGATACATACGCATGTACACCTGTCGGTTACAGGCATTATTACTCATAGACTCGGCTCCCGCCACCACACAGGCCCCGGCTCTGGGCCCCGCCTCGGGCAAGCTCCTCCCCTTTGATGTCACAGGTCCCCACAGCCCTCCCATCAGTCGGTACTATTGACGACCCCCATTTCCCAAACGGCTCTGAGGGAATTGTGCTGGGTTACTCAGTCACCCGTGGGTAAAGGGCAGGGCAGGACTTGACCCCAATCTGTCCTCCCTGGGAATCCGGGGCCTGTAAGAGTTACTTAGTGATGTGTACAAAATGAGGACACTTCAGCTGGTGGCCCCGAGGGTGAGGCCCGCTGGCACCCAGGCTCCCCCACCCCTGCCCAGCCCTCCCGCCAGCCCTGGTTTCCAGATGAATGAGCCCGGCCTCCGGGAGATGGCGCTGCTGGGTTGGCAGAGGGAATTTCTCCTTTTCCTTCTGGCCTCGCTGCCCTGGCCATGGGCCCAGGGCACCACCTCGGTTTCTGCCCTAGAACAAGGAAGGTCCGTTCCTCCCTCTGAACCAGACTGACCGGCTCCTCCTCGCCCCCACCCCTCATCTCCTGTCCCAGCCCCAGGGAGCCAGAGGGAGCACCCCCGCCCGGGGCTCTAAGGAGAGAGACTCCAGTCAGAAATGCAGCCCCCCTTTTTTTTCTGAAAACGAAGATTTCGGGTTAGGAATGTTCTGTTTAAATGAGGACTGTCAAAAAAGACACATCCACATATGCCCCAGGACCTTTGCGCCTCCAAAAGCATTTCTAAACTGGCTAACGGAGAGATTTTTGTTAAAATCACCCGCGGGGTCAGAGTGGAGAGAGATTCGGCACAAACACCAGACCAGGCGACATTCCATGGTCAGCGTGGGCCCCGTGCCAGTGACGGGTGCCCTTAGGAGAGAGAAACCGGACACGGAGAACACCACGTGAGGGCGGAGGCAGAGACCGGAGGGATCTGTCTCCAAACCGAGGAACGCCAAGGGCTGCTGGCAGCCCCCACAAGCCGGGAGCGAGGCATGGGACAGACTCTCCTCTGGGCCCCGCAGCGGGCGCCAACCCTGCGGACACCTTGATCTTGGACTCACGGCCTCCAGGACTGGGAGAGAACATGTTTCTGTTGTTTTTGGCGCCCCACCGCCCCCAGTTTGGGGTACTTTCATTATGGCGGCCCTGGCACACACCCACACAGCTTCCTCAGCTACTCTGAACCTGCAGGTGGGGTCCCGCTCTGATTTCACTGTGCGGGGCCAGCACCGGCTCTCACGGACGCCTGGCCTGTTAACTCTCCAAGCTCACGGCACGCTGCTGGCCCGCTCTGCCTCAGCGTCCTTTCGTCAAAGTGTGCCGACCTCATGGGGTAGCTCTGAGCTGTCCCCGAAGACCTGTCCAGGAGGGGGCGAAAGCAGGTTTAGCAGGTTCGCCGTTGTTCACCTGCAAAAGGATGTGCAGGTGATGAGCGTGACCACAGCTTTATTAACTCAAGAGCCTCCCAGTGTGCCTGTCAACCGACTTTTGCCCACCCCATGTATAAGGTATTCGGACCACCACCGCCAGAGACTGAACACTCAGGGCCTGTTCTACCTATCACTCTCAGAGGAGAGGCGCGGTTTGCAGGTCATTCTCTGTGTCTAGTGCCCTTGGGTCTCACAGGGTGTACACCTCCTAAGGGTGTAAAGCCCGGGTGAGATATTTACTGTATCTAAACTTAAGCACCAGGCACCGTGCCTGGCAGATAAGGGCCCTGTGCCAAGGTGGGTCCCACCCATCTGTCAGATAAGGCAGTTGGACTTCTTGGAAGGGGAGGCCCCGGAAGCCCACCCAGCCCAGCCACAGGATGCTGTACTCCTGACCCTCATAGGCTGAGGGCCCCTGGGAAGAACGTGTCACCCCTTCAGACCTCAGTCTCCCCCTCTGTGCACTGGGACCTCTCAGTCTCCCCTCCTTGCAGCGGGGCCTCAGCCTCCCCGTCTCCAGTGTTCTCCAAGGCAGCCAGAACACCTAACTTTTCAAGAGGCACCAGAAATCTGACTTCCAATGTGAAATCCTCAGCTTTTTAAATACCAAAATTAAACCAAATGTTCCAGAAAAGTGGAGGGGCAAGGCCCGCCCATCAGCCCCCAGGACTTCCTCTCCCCACTGCACCATCCGGGAAACTGAGGTGCAGGCCAGTGACGTGAACCCTCTCCCGGGCTTCCCCCTCCCAGGGACACATCTGGACATTTGAGGACACTCAGAACTTGGCTGGCCAGGCCCCGCCTCAGCCTCCACCCCCACCCTGGCCCTTCTCCCTATAGTGAAAGGGACTTTATGGGGACAAAAAGCCACCTATTGTGTCACAGGAGACAAAGGCACAGGGGACAGAGGCTCCAGGCACCCGTGTTGGCCACAACAACTCCACACACCACCCCCTCCCTGTGCAGCGGGTCAGGCCTGGGGGGCGGCTGCTTGGAATTCCCTCACTGAGTACTGGGAACATTAGAGTCACGCAGAGCAGGGTCTGAGCCCCACGGGGGCCGACAGCAGGGTCTGGCGTGTGTGTGTGGGGGGGCGGGGGGTTCCTTATCTGGAAAGAGGGTGTGACTTAATCCATGGAGTAAATTGAGTCCTTCAGTCACTGAGCAAACTGTGGCGGCGGGTCACTCTGTGCCAGGGGCGGCAGGGAGCCAGTGGCCAAGGTCCCTGCCCCATGCAGCTTCCAGTGTCAGCAGTCACAGGGAAGGGGGTCACAATGGGTCACCTCCACGGCTTCCCAAAGACGGCCTTCATCACGTTATTCCTGAGTCCCAGGATTCAGAGTTAGATTTTGAAAATTCACAGTGATGGAAGAGCTTCCTACACACCCTCCCCAACAGCCCAGCCGCCCCCGGAGGCGGTCCAGCCTGTCATGCACCCTGCAGGTCAAGGACCCCACAGCCACTATTGTTCCTTCATGGTCTGCCTCAGGACTCCAGAAAAATCTTCCCAACAAGAAGTTCACACGGGGCCTGGAGACCAAGCAGGCCCCACCCACAGAAGGTCCCAGGGGTGTGAAGGCGGGGGGGGGGGGGGGGGGGTTGCATCACATCCGCGAAGCGTCCCCTGGCTCCCAGAGCAAGTGGCAGTGGGACCTCTCAGTCTCCCCTGCACCTCAGTTTCCCAGATGGTGCAGTGGGGAGAGGAAGTCCTGGGGGCTGATGGGCGGGCCTTGCCCCTGCACTTTTCTGGAACATTTGGTTTAATTTTGATATTTAAAAAGCCGAGGATTTCACATACGAAGTCAGATTCCTGGTGCCTCTTGAAAAGTTAGGTGTTTTGGCTGGAGAACATTGCACAGACGGGGAGGCTGAGGCCCCGCTGCAAGGAAGGGAGACTGAGAGGTCCCACTGCCACTTGGCAGTGCTCCTTGGTGCGGTTCTAGAAATTCAATCCTCACCTACCTGCCCTCCTCCTCCTCTCCCCCAGCCCCTCAGGAGTCTCCGGGCCCACCCCACCTCCCTGCAGCTCCAGACAAGCTACACAGAACCTTTCCAGGAAGCCCTTGGCCCCCTGTAAAGCCCCAGGTCACATCCAAGCCCAGCCCCCGCCTCACTCAGGCCACCATGCCAATCCGTGCACCCCTCCCACAGCCTTCCTCCCCGAGCCTGACCCTCTCTCTGTCCAGCACTAGGACCATTTTACAGTCGAGGAGGCCAAGGCACTTGGAAGATGGGCACCTGCAGGGCCAGTGCTGTGGCCCAGCAGGTGGAGGTGCCCCAAGGACAGACCTTCGAATCCCAGGGTGGAAGGACACTCCCCTGGAGCCTGGAGGCCCTGGAGGGGCAGGGGCTGACCTTGAACTGTGGGCAGAGGTGTTCTCAGCACCCCACGCAGGCCTCCATCAGCCCTCCAGAGACAGCTGGCTGTTGGGAGCACGTGGAACCTCATTAGCACTCCAAGAGACCTGCCCTCGGCCTGCTGGGGAACTGGGGTGTGGGGGGTGCTAATGTGAGGATCTTCTCTATTTCCCGACTTCTCCCTGAGACCCTGGCTCTAGCCCTGACTCTGGCACAAATGTTCTGGGAGACCTTGAGTGAGATGAGCCCATCTTAACTTCAAGGAGGTTGGGTGACCCCATCTGCTAACTTCACGCACAGTGGCAGGTTATCTGGTGTCTGACAACCTCCCCTCCCCCCACCACCCCCATGAAAGCCCAGGTCTGTTGCCTAGCAGCTCATCTGCTGGGCCCCGCCTGACCTTTGGCACTAGCCTTCCTGTGAGACCCTGGGGTGCCACCCTGGCCTCTCCCCCTTCGGCAAACAGGAAGGACCAACCCAGCCCAACAGCAAAGGACCTGTGAGTACCCAGGGTGGGGCTTACTGGGCTGCCAAGAAAACAGCCCCCCGCCCCCAGTCAGGTTCCAGTTCACCATGGGGACCAGGGCAGGACCCCTGCAGTTCCCCAGACCACCTATGAGCAGGACATCAGGACCTGGTCCTCCCTGAATTCTGCCAAATGACTCACCAGCTAACAAGGGGTGACCAGCGCCGGGCCCTGCCAGGCGCCCGGAAACAGCAGCTGGCCACGGCGTGTGGACAGCTCCGCAGCACGTACCCTGCCCACACCGGCCTCGCTGTGGGGCCGTGGGCCTCATCCTCTTCCCATGACAGATGGCTAAGAAAACAGCCCAAAGCCATCCGGCCGGTACCACCGAATTCAGGACTGCTGCTTGCCGCTGTGTGACCCTGGGAGTTGGCCTTCCCCTCTCTGGGCCTGAGGACCTTCAAGGGCCACCTTCCTGGCTCTGCAGTGCCTACCAGCTACCTGCACTGTTTTCTACTCGGTGTTCATTTCCTTGAAAGACGTTTTGATGACTTTATTTATTTTTTAAATATGTAATAGTTATAGCATGGTGGATAACGTGATATATCTCTCCCCCAGGGTCAGCCAAGAGCGGATTCTCATGCGCCTCT